ATCCGTGTGTAGAGGCGTAGCACGGCAGTAAAAATCTAATTAGCGTCGGCTTTACGCTTCTGAAAAAGGTGGTTGAGGGGGTGGGTGAGGGCTGAATTTCGTTTTAGCCTTGATATATTTTGCAATCAATATGAAACCAACATTCTTTATTACAAGGTGTACAGGTGTGTGTGTGTGTGTGTGCGTGTGTGTGTGTGTGTGTGTACGTGCTGGCATTGTATATGTATTTGTATTTGTTGCTGCCTTGCCATTGCACTTGTGGGACATCTTTGTCGTTTAATTTCCGCTTTAATTGCGCTTTAACAATCGTTTGTTATTGATTTTAGTTTGAGCTTTAGCCTGAACTCTGCCAGCCTCCGATTGCCCCAGCCAGCGTTGTGAGTAGAACTTATTTCTGGTTCGATTCAGGCTGCGAAACAACTTCCAGCCCTTTGGCTACAGTTCGTGAAGCTGGCTTTGGCAGCATTTAACCCAGCTTGGGGTTCAATCCTTGCTGTATCATAAGTTTTCAAAATTTTCATTTATAATTGAACGTTTTTCCAAAATAATTACAAGGCGTGCAGATTTGTATATTCAAGATACGGGCTACATCATATTCTCTAGCCAAAATTTGTATCTATCAAACATGGCAAGGGTTTATTTGTACTTTAATGCTGAGACTCATTTTGGTTTCATTTTGAATTTTTTATATATTTTTTTTAATAAATATTTATGATTCGGTTTGCACGATTTTGAAGCGCATAATTGCTGAGAGTTTAAGATAACTTGAATAACTCCGATGTTCATGCGATTTCGGATATATATAGGAGGAGAATAGTGTCAAGATATCTTAATAAAAAAAAAAGTTGTTCATACAATAACCTACTCTTTGGCCCTAGTTCCGATGACAGCTATATGATATAGTTGCCCGATCCGGACAGTTCCAATATAACTTTAAAACTAGTTTCCATATAAACAAACAAACGGACATATTGACGCTACTCTTGAAACTTGTCATTAAATGACAAAATTATAAGGATATAAACATCATGTAAATTCCTTAAAAGCATGGACAAACACTGAACTATTTTTATATTAAATATATATTATAATTTTAACGTTTCCCTGGCACATTTAAAGTGCATTATCTTGATATGAGAATTTATATAATATTGTATAAATTTCTCAAATTTTTATTGGCCTTATGCCCGAAATCAGGTATTAGGTGACGTGCGCCAACCACAACATGCAAAGGCACAAACCATGTCAACAGCACGACAATGAAATCAACTGGTTGTAGGATGGGCTCTACGCACACACACACACACAGACACCCTCACATATAGAAAACATAATACAGCCAAGCAGCATGTATGTCGATGTATATGTGCAAATGTCTGGCACTGAGAGGCAGTCTATGTATGTGTGTGTGTCTCTGTGAGTGTATTGCCAGACAGTGTAAAGTGATATTTGCGTATATCACATTGTTTATACTAAATAAGTACATTCTATTCTATGTCTGCGAATTTTAATTAGACTCATTCCATGGCTCAAATTGTGGATACTTTATTCAATTAGACACTTTGTCACTCACTAGTAAATAAAAAAGCAGTAAGCTTTTCTTTTTTGAAATCCTTGCATGCAGTTGGTTATAGCTGATTTATGGTAAAGCCAGCGGAAATATGATAACATCCACACATAAATCTTCTCGAGCGCCTTACGAGCTGCCACACAGGAGCCGTGCAATCAAAGCAACTGAAGCTTATGCCAATCACAACAATGGCAACACATCTCCCTCTCTCTCTCTCTCTATCTCTCTCTCTCACTCTTTATATATGCGTATATATATGTGTGTGTACCTGGGCACACTGACTGACTGACTTACGCGCTCACTCAATTACAAGAAGCTGCCGCACGCACTGTCACACTGTAGCACTAAGCACATCCGGTTTCCGGTTGTTGGCGCGCGTCCCAAGCGTCGCACGCGGCGTACGCGTAACGAGCGCACATTGAAATCAATCAGGACGCGTATTGTGCGCGACGCGAGCTATTAACAGACAGCAATCTTATATATGGCATGTGCCACAGACTCTGTTCGATACAAATGCCGTGCGATGGGAACGAAGCGCGCGCGCCCCACTTGAAGCACATGAAGCGTTTGAGCTGCCAGCCCAACGAGCAGCAAGTTTACAGCTAGCCACAGAGCTGCTGCTGGCATTCGTGTCCTGGCGCTCGTCCTCGTCAAAACCAGCAGTAGAGCAGCAGCAGCAGCAGCGGCAGCACTCCTCGTACTCGGCTCGAAAACAAATGAAACGAAATATTGTTGTCGCCTGCCGCCTGGCAGCGAAGCCAACCTGTAGTTGTGTGTATCCAGCATCATTTTGCGTTGATTACCATGGCAATGTTTATGCTTGAAATTCTGACCATTATTACATTATCTATATTCAGGCAGGTCGCACTTGGATCAATTTCCGCCAGTGTAAACTAATTGACTTTGAAAAAGGCGCCTCACCACCTGCACCAACACATATATACCTTGTCATTTCCGATCCCGGACGATATACAACACGCATCATGCATGTGTGTATTATGCCGAGCACTTGAATTGATTTAAAGTTTGTGCCCAGCCAGAGAAGCTGCCGGAGAGCTCTCCATCTGCAAGCTATTAGCTGGCTTCCGGGGCCGAGCTCTCGAGGCCGTGGCTACTGCCCTGGCAACAGTCGCACTGAGTGGAAGAGTGGGCGGGAGGGGAGGCGTGCTGGCATTGTTGCTGTCGTCTATGCGACAACTTTGGCTTTAAACAGCCATTCAGGCGTTTACATGTTTCACTCGCAGCTTACTGCGCTTTATGTTACCCAACGCCCGGCGGTGGCGGCCGCCAACGTATCAGGTTCGATGAAGGCAAGGACTACGCCATTTATTATTTTTACGAGTAGACCAAACAACAGACCAAATGGCCCAGCCCAGCCCCAGACCCAGACCCAGACCCAGCCAAGTCGAAGCCTGCCACCTTCAAGACACATTGTTGTTTCCGTTGTTGTCATACTGAGGCTTATTATTATTATTATTTGTGCGTTTTATATTTCCGTGTTTTATTGCGCCACTTTTCTTATAAACAGACACACACACACACACACACACACATACACGCACACCACAGACCCAAAGATTGACTTTGTTTGGGTACAAGAAGTCGTATACGCAACTTCATTTGTTGCCGCTGACAGTTGTTGAATGCGAGGGGTTAGTTCACACTCCTTTTCCTTGTTGCTGTTGTTGTTGTTGTTGTTGCCTTTACTGTGGCACACATCCGTGATTTATGTAGCCCAAAATCCTCAATTTAAAATCCTTAGCTGCCTTGATTATGTCGCGTGCCAGCTGCCTTAAAGGTAGGTTCTTTCTTGTCATTTGGGCAAAGGTTATTATCATTCCTATAAGCTAACCGCATGCTGTTTAAGCTCTTTTGAATATAATCAAAATAATATATATATACTAATATTCTGTTTATGTTTCAGGTCTTGACGCTATAGTGCGTGAATTTAAGTCTGGACGCGTCACGTTGCGTCGGAATCGTCGCAAAACCGGCACCAGCGAAGCTCTCAAGGAGATGTTCCAAGTACTCGAGATAAGTCAGAAGCAGAATCGCAACTCGAAGATATGCGTCGATCTGAATACAACAATATAAGTTTCTTCTCCTACTTTGGTCTCAAATCGAAAGCCTATGCTCTCTGCTTCGACATCGAAACATTCCGTGCATTTTAATATTTATTCGTAAGCCCTCCTATTTAATACACTAATTTTGCCTTTGTGTGTGCCTTTCTTTTGAAGGAGAAAACAAGCCATTTTTAAACTAATTTATAAAATATCCCTATTTGAAATTAACTAACATGTATTTGATTTTGACTTCTAACAATGTGTTCATGTTACTCATTAATATTATTATTTATGCTTTATTATACAATCGAAACCCAACGAAATATTTTGAATAAACTTTATAACCAAATATATAAACTTAATGATTATTCCAATTGATTTATGTGGGGGTGTATTTAAATCCTGTAAAACATTTCCTGTGATACGTTTTGCATTATGACATAAATATTGATCGATAATATGTTTATCAGGCTTAATTGTACTTTATTATTACTTAATCTTTGGCCGATGCACAGATCGCAAATTACATAAAATTACACAAAGTTTCCCTATGTATATATTAGTACATATGTGTAAATCGTGTAACAATCATTAAAAAGTTATTTGTTCAGTTTAAAAGTAGACGAGCTAAATTTACATATTAAAATTTCAGCTTATGGCTAATTCGCGTACAATAAAAATAGTTTTAGCTTATCATTTTAAAAAATTTGGCTAGTTGCTTACAAAGTTTTCAAAGGTTTTGTATTGCATGCACTGTTGTAATTGACTTGATTTAGTTTGTGCTTCAAATTGACATAATTGAATAAAGTTCTTGTTATAGATTGTGGCACTTGTTTGCAAAAGATACGTACAAAGTTGTTGAATTGTGATTAGAAGAGCTTAAACTACTAAAGTTTAAATAACATTATTATATCGTTTATCAAAATACAAACTTGTGGAAGACAAGTAGTTTGCGTATTTTACGTATTGCGTTTTGTTCGAAAACAAATTCAAAGCGGACAGCGACTGCTTCGACATATAATAGACTATTAACATAGAAAAAAATGATGACATGTTCAACATAATATCATTTCAACATAATTAAACATTTAACATATATCATAAAACTTATTTAGGCTCTAAAAACATGTAATTTAAATCTAGTGCGATCGCTTGTTTAGACACTATTTGGTAGTCGGTCATGTGAGGCAAATGTTGTGTGTTGATCTTGCTCGATTGTTGCTCGTTTCTTTCGGGGATTAGTGCTATATATATATATGCTATATGTATGTAGTAACAGGAATATTTGGCACTCGATGCTTGCTCATTGACAACGTTTCATTTTCATGTTATATATGGCGCAGCACTGAAAACAGCAGTTACGTCTGCTGTTCGTTCATGGAATGTGTTTACTGTGCCGCGATGGCTTTGGCGGCGGAGTCGGAGGGCGCGGCTTGCTGGCATCTTGTATGCCCGGCATGCTGAAATTTGTGGCCTCCAAATACTCGTACGTTGTGTTTGTAATACTGGTCTTTGTCATGGTTGTAGTGCTAATGCTGCCGCTGGTGGTGCTGTTGCTGGTCAGCACATTTAACATTGTATAACCATTTGGATTCCAGTCGAGACTGTGCGTCAAACTGCTAAAATCGGTGGAGTCGCGCGTCTTGGCGGGCAAAGGCGGTGGTCGTATGTCCTCCTCCGACGTGGAATCGGTCGTTTCTGTCATGTTCAAAAGAAAATGTTTACCAACTGCAGGAGTTAGTCTCTCTCTTGATGCTTACCAACTGAGTTGCGATTACTGCTCTCGGAGAGGGAGCGTGTGTCCGCAAAGTTCTTAATGCTAGCCGTGGGCGTGGCAATGCTGGCTGGCCGCGAGAGGCGACGTTCTTTTTCCTTTTCGGAGCGCAGCGGCCGTTTGGGTGTCAGCTGTTTGGAAGAAGCAGGGGCAAATTAGTGGAGGTTCAAGCTGAAACGGAGGACTTTGTGACTGACCTCTTCTGTTAATACGCGCGGATCGGGCGTTTTGGGTCCACTTAGAGAACTGTTCGAAGCACTGGCCAACGAATTGACAGAGGTGTTGATCTCCTTTTCGGGCGTGGACGTTATGGTGGTCAGCGGCGGCGTATACCACTGACAATTGGCCACCGGCAAGCTCAATGTTTCGCGATCCTTTAAAGACAGAAAGTTAATCAACCGCAAAGTTTGTCGTAGAGCTGAGTTTGGATACCTTCTTCATGGAGCGCCGTTTGGCGGGCGTCTTGTCCTTGTGCTTGTTGCCTTTGGTGCTGGGTGAGTGGCCAAGGCTAGGTCTATGTGAGCGTAGACAATAAGCAACAAATTTCAAGTAAACAAAAGTAAAACAAAACAATAATAAAACACATGCAACAAATCAAACAAAACTAAAGGAAAACAACTTAAAGTCTCAAACTAAAAACGGCGAGCAGCAATAAAAGTGTTAAAAAGAATTGGATTTTGTTTTTTATTTTAGTTAGAGGAGGGTTTTTTTTAAATAATTTGATTAATCAGCGTTTACCTAGTGTTGAAGCTCAAGCTGGCCAGCGTGGACTTGATGGAACTTGTTGGCGGTCGCGGCAGAAAGGTTGACTTCGATAATCCGCTGCTGCAATTGGAGCGGAACTTAGGATTGACTTAATATATGTGGCTTGAGCTATTCGGCACTTACTCAGAGGAGCCCATGCTGGTCTCGGACAAGCGATTGTTGCTGGCATCAAAGATCGCGGGCAGGAAAGAGTTGGTGCGTCGCATGATCACCGAATCCCGTTCGATTTTCAAATCGCACGATTTGCGTCCATAGCGCGATTCCACGTGCTGCTGCATGTCCGCAAAGCAGCCCTCCAAGTGATCCTGCAGCGCCTTTAGGCTATCCGGCGCCTTCTGGCGATGCAGTCGAATGGCTACAGATGCAGATTAAACATGATTAGAAGCATGAAAATTAAAAAATAGAAAATCCCGATGAAACGCACCACATTGCAGTAGTGGGATTTGCAGGGCAATCAATTCCTTAAGCTCCTCGACAAGCTCCTTGTCATCGGGATGCTGCTCCAAATACTCGTCGGTTAGGAATGCCTCCTCATATTTGGCAAAGCCGCCCATAACGGCGGGATCCACAATGCCATTGAGTTTCATGCTGAGCGGATTTATGTGCAGACTCTCGTCGCTCTGATGCAGTATGACCAATTGTCGGATATCCTTGTTGGTGTCTTTCATGATCTCCACGGCACGCTCCAGTGGTGAAATTTTGAACGTATGCGAATCGACAACGGGAAACCAGCGCAATATGCCGGGCAGTGGGAATTGCGTAACGAGCTCTGTGCGCTCCAGCCAAAGGTTACGCACATCGTCCATGGTGCCGCCGCCGGTGCTGTCGCGGAAGGGGCGCGAGAATTGAAACTTGTGCACATTATTGGAGGTGAAATACTTGACAATCTCATTGGAGATGATCTTCTCATTGAACTTGGCGAAGGCAGCGTCCATAATGGGCTCCACCTTGTTAACCTGTATGAACTGTCCATCGCTGTTTGTTATATCCTCGCCAGGCGCCTCCAGCGTTTGCATAAGCTCTGCCTGTGGATGCTGCACAAGCATCCGGGAGCAGAAGTCGCTGTGGCGCTCATACTCCTTGCCCCGAAAGATATAGACTCTGTTCTGCAGCAGTCGTGGAAAGCCGCGTCCATAGAAGCAGACGCGAAAGTACTCGGACGTGTGGCGCAGCTCCTTGAGTATCTTTTCAAAGAACTGGGCCATGCGCTTTAGCAACTCCGCCAGCTTGATGTAATCATAGATTTCCTCCTCGTATTGCTGGGCGAGCACCTTGCACATATCAATCGCGCACTCCCACTGCTTGCCCTTGTCAAAGTAGTCCATTATCTCAAAGTAGAGGGCTTCCTTTAGCTCGCGATGGGTGCGACAGCTGCCATGGCGATAACTGCGCAGCTGGGGCGACAATTCCGTATCGTTCCAGCGCAGCAGTTCCGTGTGCAGCTTGAGGGTGAACGCCGCCTCCGTATAGTTCTCGAACTCCATGTGCAGGGCGCACAGCTTATAAACGTAGCGTATGTACATCTCCTTGAGATCCACCTCCGAGTAGAACTGCAGCAGCGAGAATGTGCAAGCCATGCGATTCTCCTTGCTCTCGTCCTGTATAATGAAACGATACTCGAGCAGTTTGTCCATCAGCCGTGTCACCATATTCACAAAACTGGTGCCATCCACGTTGAGCGTGTTGTGCGCGGCACAGTACTCTAGCATGATCTTCTTGAACAGCTCCTTGTACTCGGCATCGCCCTTGCCTGACGGGAAGAGAGAAAACACTATTAATAACTAGCTAAGGAATGGCTACAAGCAGAGCACTTACCGGCGCCAATCAGTATGTCCAGCTTCTCGATCATGGCCGTCTTGAACTCGGAAAAGTTGCCCTTGTGGTGAGAATTGTTGTGCTTGGTGTCGCCGTAGCTCTCCACCTCCAGACGCGAGCTGTAGTATTCGCACTGCATCATGTCAAAGAAAATGGGTATTGTCTCGCGGCGCAGCTCCGTTTCGGGTATCATGCTCATCTCCAGTATGGGCTCCACCAGCTGTGGCACAAACTTGGGCTTGTGCTTGCCCAGCTGGAACCACATCTTGCGTATCTCCTTGGCCGTATCCTTGCGTATATCCCGATACCGGGCAAAGACTATCTGCCGTTTATTGTCATTAAAGTCGTTCAGCTGCAGCGGCGACTGCACCAGGAACGCAATCGAGCATTGGAAGAAATTCGACCAGATCTGTTTGTCGAACACCGGGCACAGGAAATAGTCCGTGATGACCATGCTGAGCTGCTGCAGAGCGCCGAGTATAACCGTGTTCTGGTGCATGATCATGTCCATCCAGTCGCGCGGAAAGACCGCCTTCTGATGCGGCGACACCAGCTCCTCGAAGACGAGCAGAATCTCGATGACAAAGTCCTTCAGCTCGCCGTGCTGGTGCAGATCGTTGACGAAATACTTGTAATGCTGGGCATCCATCCGCTGCAATATGCCCAGCATTATGGCAAAGAATTGGCCAACCACGCCCGTATCCCGATCCAGTGAATGCGCCGCCTTCATGACCGGGCGCAGCAATATGATCATAACGTCGCGCACATCATTATGCGTGGGTCCCACGTCCGGGCGATAGAGCAGCTTCAGGATGTTGTTCATTATGTTGATGCACTCCGCGATCTAGCGACAAAAGTTGACAGATTAGTTTGGAATTTCTTCATGGATTGAGAAGTCAAAAAATATCCTAGAAATAATCAAAACACGCGAACTCACGAGAGCTGTTGACCTAGCTGTACTTCGCATAAGAAATTAAATTTAAATTAGTGCATAAAAATATAGAAAAAACACAAAAACGTTGTAAATTAAGTAAAACACATTGATAATTGCGTGGGCTGGCATTGACATAAACAAACGTGGCGCACACCAACACGCGAGCAGTGCACAAGTATTAGTGAGCTTTCAAAGCTCCCAAGCAGCAGCAGCACAGCAGCTGTGCGTGAGCCGTGTGCGTGTGCGAAAGCTTGGCGCATTGCTCGCACACTGGCACAAAAAAAAAAGCTTACAAATTAAAAGCCATTGAGCGTATAGTGCGCCAATCACCGGCTGTGCAAAATGGCAAAAAAGCTAAACATAACTTAAACTAGAATTATGATAAAACAATTTAAATTAATATATAAGAGATTTATATATTGGAACAACGCAAAAGGCAGCTGAAGCTCAGTTTTGGACGTGCGTTACATAGATCTGAGTTTGGTGCACAATTTGATTGTGTTTCTGTATTTTTTTTTTTTACCTTTTTATTGGCAGTCGTTTCTCGTGTGTGCAGGTGGGATTTTTTCTGTCCGAGCACTTTAGCGGCTTTCGAAAGATTCTTTTCTTGCTGCCAGATATCGGTTTTCGAGTCACCCTATTTGTATAACACAAGTTATGATTGTGAACCAACAACAACAACAACAAGAACAAAAAAAAACAACGAGATATTTAACGCACCCAACATCGAGTGAATCAGTTTTTGATTTCGATACACGCAAATGGTAGGCACATAAGAGAAACATTGGAAAACATTAGGTTGATCATAATGATATCAAGGCATTTAAGGCATATATATATATAATAATACGATTATGATCATAAAGCCAAAGATATAATAATACAGACAAATGATATAGGGGTGACAAAAAGATATAGAGAAATGAAGAGAAAGAGAGAGAGATATATAAATATTAAAGAGGTGCACGTTCCAGATGTGCATACATACATACATTCGCATTATATACGGTGCGTGTGTGTGTGTGTGTTGGTGCGGTGCTTGAAATCTTTAGATATATATAATTGTGTATGTATGCATATTGTATGGATAACTAGAACCGTGTTGGTCAGTTACAAGTGGGTGGTTGGGTGGTTGGGTGTGTGTGAGGTGTGAGGTGCTTTAATGAGTTGCCATATGTAGCTGCCATAGAAGCATCTATGACAGACATGACGTCAGATGTGAAGGAGCTCAACAAACAGCTAAGCCCGACAAATATCATGATTAAGGTAAAAATATAAGCACATATAGTATGTATATAATGCCTATACTAAACAATCAAAAAACTAAAACAAAACTAAACGACGTTGATGATCGTGAGATCTTCTCGCTAAACACACAATTTGAGCGCTAACTAAGTGAATTTTCATTGCATGTTTGTATGTGGTACATAGTTAAATACTTACACACTTACAGTTTAGATAAGACATATATAGTACATATAGTTCATATATTTGATGTGCTTGCGACTACTTTACAAGGTGCTTAAGCCTAGGGGACACGTGACAATAAACAACAGACACAAAACAATTTATATTCAATCAGTTGCAGTCCAAATTAATCAACATCAAAAAAAACAAGAAAAAATTGTTACCTTCGGGTTGCCGAAGATCAAATACCCTTGCAGAGGCAGGCAATATAACATTTATATATGTTATATTATATATTATAATGATATGATTTTTCAAACAGATAAGTAGAAAATAATTAACGATATTTTCAGTAATCTGAGCTAGTAAAGTCAAGTAGTTTTGACAATAATACAGAAAGCCAGGCGAGACGTTGTTTCGAACCGTAAAACAGTTCACCGATAAATAAAATCTTTAAAAAATATAAAGATAAGTACATCTAAAGATAGATACATATATCATAAAACAGTCTGATGCTTATCAATTATTTATGCCAGGCAAGAGCCTTGGCACATGACCAAGTTATATTACCCTCTGCAAGAGTATAAAGAACACATATGGATGCAGCATGCTTAAAACTAACTAACAAATCATCTCAAAAGGCTACAGACACATTTATATGTATATATATATACTACACATATATATACCTAAATATGTATATCTAGATTGAAACTGAGCAAAATTAAGACAGCTCACATGTCCAATTGACAAACTGAATGATCTGATGTAGCAGATGGTATTCAATGTCAAGCGCTTTGATTTATCAGAATATCATAATATATATTAGCAAAGCGCTTTTTATAAATATTTTTTTTGGGAATATGACAATGGCAATCGAGTATATGATTAGTGTAAGATCAGTTTAATTACAAAATCAGTTAAATTGAACAAAAAAGCGCTGACTTTTTTTTTTGTCAGTTAATTGAAATTAGTTACTTTTCGATCATTTGAGTTGAACATGTGCCGTGTTATGTATTAATTTTGCATCTTGCTGTTGCATACACAAGACCATTTATCGAACACAAAATTGAAACGATGCATTAGATTATAAACAATATGCAAATCCCGATGGATTATTAATTAGTGGCACAAGCAGAGCATTAGCTGGCTGGCACAGAACATACCTCCTCCTTGCTCTCGAGATGATCCTTGATGTGCTTGCAGAACACGGGCAACAGTATGGCGCGGCATTTTGGCGAGCTGAACAGCTTCGTTTCCACAAAGTCCTTGATGCAGCCCATTTTCGACTGGGTAAGACGACGTGGCGGAAACTTTTCCAAAATCTCCACAATGGAAATGCTGCAAGTATGCGTAAAAGTATATATATTTTTCAACATTCACATGGAAGTTCTCTCTAACGCACCTGAGATGCACCTGATCGAAAACCTCCATCAAATCGGTGGCTATGATGTGCAGATTCTTTAGCAGTGCGCCCTCCGACTTCAGCAGATTGCTGGGGCAACCGATCATATCGATGAACATTTTGAGCAGCTCCTGCAGACGCGCGGCAAAGTCCACATAGTCATTATTGCAGTTCATCGCCGCGTATAGCACGCGCGATCTGATGACAAACTTCATCACATAGTGCAGATAGCGTGTCGTCTTGTAGAGGCGACGCACTGCGGCGCTCTCCTCGTGCTCAATGCCATCGGCAGACTTCTCGCTCGGCGTGATCGCATCGCTTATGTTGCGCTGTAGCACGTCCATTAGTTTTCTATATAGAATACGAAATACAAATTATAGTTACGGTTTGTATACAGTATGATCCCAACACTTACGTGTAGGCCAACGTGGCGGAGAAACTCTCGTTGATGTACACATCGAGTACGGACAAAAAGTGTTGATACTTCAGATCCGAGACCGTCTCAATCAGATGAATGATACTCATGAAGACCAATTGATCGTACTTGTCGGGATTATCGTTCTCCACGAGTATGTTGAACAACGCATCTAATATGTCCTGCAGAAACTTGACTACTTCCTCGCCGGGTACTGTGGATAACGCATTTAACGATTGCTCCAACGTCTCCTTGTGCGCTGACCAATGCAACAAGCCCAACAGGCTTACTGGAATAAGGAGGGCAAAGATAGATTAGATACCTTCACACAAGAGGAGTTTAAGGTTTATCTTCACATTTCGGTGTGATATTCAACATTTGACTTATCATGACTTATCATAGTAATTGGAAAATCTTACCGCTCTGCGTTAGCTTTGTGCTGCAAAGATTGACATCGATGGTCAGCTGATCCTTGGGCAAGAGACTTAGACCACTTATGGATGGCTTGGTGCCCAGCAGCTCAGCTGTGGTCGCTGGCAGCTCCATGTAGCTATTGGCCAGCGTTTTGTCGTACTTCTTGTGATCGATCTTGTAGACAGCTAGGATATGCTGACCCTGTGGTATGGTGGTGCCATTTGCCTGCATAAGTCTCACATACGACAGGCCGAAAGGTTTCTCGGAGCGATCCTTTTGCTCGTTGCTGCTGCGGTGCTTGAGCGTAAAGCGCAGATGGCATTGCTTGAACTCTTCAATGGGCACGTGTATCTTGAAAGTCTCCTGCCACTTAGGCTTGTCGTCGTGGTAGTACACCACCGACTTGTACTCATCGATGGGCGGATGCCCGGCGCCAATGCTCATTACGCCAGGCACCAGATGGCCCTGCTCGTTGGCCACGCATATGGTCACCTCCACGTTCTTCTCCGATGTTTTAGCGATGCGCGCAAATTCACCGCTGCAAACGGTCAAATAGAGATCGTTGCGCACGTCACCCGGCAGTATGACTTCCGGGAAGCCCATTTTACGTGCGACCGGCACATTGGTGTGCACAAGGCGCGGAAAGTCCTCCTTGATCTGCTTGATGTCGCCGCGCAGCACCTCGAAGGTAACGGCCATTTTGGATTCGATTTTGCCAACGTCCTTTTCGATCAGCTTGCGTAGCGTGCCATCCAGCGTGTCCTTTTCGCACATGATGAACGGCAGGTCGAGATTGCCCCGAAAGTCTTCGGGCTTACTGATGATGGGCGTTAAATCCTTGCAGGCAACACCAAACGGCCGACGCATCATGTACTCACTGGCGCTGCCCGAAGAGCCGTTCGAGTTGACCGACAGCTGCGAATGCTTGCGGCTGGCCGCTGTGAGGACGCTGTTGGCAATGTTCATGCTGGTGCGCTTCGAGTCGGTTGAGTCCTTCATCTCCATGGAACCGATGCGTATGGCATAGCACACCAGATACATTTTCGAGATGCTCAGATCGTTGCGGCTGAGATCGGTGAACAGCACGCGATTATTGTCGAACTGATCGATGTCCCGGGCAATGCCGGTGCGCGACCACTTCACCACATAGTTCTCGCTGATGGGCTTGTGTGTGTCGCCGTTGAAGAGCGTGAACAGCAGATCGGAGTCCTCCTGAAACTTGCACACGAACGCATTCACGTGCAGCAGTATGTTGTGCGAGTATTTGTTGAGGCCGCGCGTCGTCTCGCGCTCGCTGGACAAACGCTGTCGAGGAATGAATGGAGACTTAGATAGGTACAATTAATTGAATAACAAGCTGTTGACTCACATTTGCCTTTTCTATGCGCTGCACCGCATGCACGTGGTTCTCGTACAGCTCCGTGGTGCAGATGGCATTCGTGTCCAGTATGTCGCCGCTCTCGTCGCGCACGACCATGTCCAGACCCAGCAGCTTGTTGCCGGTGTCAATCTGCGCCGTCGCCTGCAGCTTCACCTTGCGCATCTCGTCCAGCGGCAGATTGCCGGAGATCAGGGCAGCTCTGTTGTTATTCAGCTCATTCATTTTACGTCGTATCTTCTGAAAGTCGGGATTTGTGCTCTGCACGCGAGAGAAGCAAAAGTCAATTCAACTGCAAATTAGAGTCTGACGAATGCTTACCAAAAAGTAACTCTTGGCTATGCCACCCCACTCCAGCAGCACTTTGGTGATCTCCTCGACAATATCGGTGCGCTGTATGCAATACTCGCCATTGACAATGATGTACTCGCACAGATGCACATAGCTCTTGGGGAAGATGCCGCGTGTTTGCTTCTCCCTGCAGCGGAAACAGAACCAAAAAGGAAGACAACACCATTAAAATGTGGCCTGCATATGGTCGGTCGCTAAACCAACAAACAGACATACTTTGACAATTATGTGTGCTTATAAAAAATATATATATATAAGAATAATGTGAAAGACAAAATTGGGGCGACTGCAAAAGTTTGAGTTAAGATTGGTTGAGAAACCACTTGAAGATATTTTATTCTTGGGAGTTTTGTATTATGAAATTTAACAATATTAATGCAGGAAATATCAAATAGATTACTTGAGAATATAAAGCTTAAGCAAAGTTTGATTCTGTATAGGATTAAAAAATTAAATTAAATAAATATATAAAAATTAATAAATAAATCTATTGAATATGCCAAGTGCTTAATACATTTACAAATTTCATTAGTATATCATATGTTAAATCATATAACTATGATTGTTTTTATCATGCAGAAGAAAGCGATGGAGACTTCGCAGGAACTATCCCATCGATCTCCCAACTTAGATGAAGTATTCAGCTAAGGAAAAGCTAAATCGAATTATTATAAAACTTTATAAGCAATGTTAAGTATGTTAAACCCATTATTTTAAAGGTAGACTAAGATGCTCAAGAATAATATCAATAAATTAGCTAACAAGTAAGAGGTTCTAGTCGGGAGCTCCCGACTAGGAAATATCCTAAACCCTCTTCTTCCAACATCAAATGCATATATATATTCTATTTTAGAAGCTATATGTCAAGTTTGGTGACTCTAGCTCTTATATATGCTTTTCAAATCCTGGCTTTGTGTTTGCTGAGTTCAAGTTCAAATCGAAAAAATAGAATTTTCAAGCTTTCATATATACAAATTATTCAATTCAGCTATTTTAAGAGTTGCCCTCGCATGCTTTTTGCCTTTATCTGAATGTACATATACATAAAAGATATGTTTATAGCTGCAGCATGACACAATTCATTCTGATGAATTACCCAACGCAAGCCCAAATCCAACCCTCGAGTGGACATTGTTCGGGATGCCCTCGGGGCAGAGGAAGTGCGCGCAAAGTGTGACACTCGCAAATGAAATGGAATGCTTCAATTTGGCTCAATTCAGCATTTGACATGCGGGGTGGCCGCCTTAATTGCCCGAGACAACAAAACTGGGGAACCATCAATCAGTAGGCCTCGCAGCATATTTAACCGATAGTTAACCGACTCTTCAGCCTATTTTTGTATACCCTGAGGAAAAGGGTGTTATGTATTAGTGCAAATGTATGTAACAGGCAGAAGGAAGCATCTCCGATCATATAGTATATATATTCTTGATCAGCATCAATAGCCGAGTCGATCTAGCCATGTCCGTCTGTCCGTCTAGTCTGTCAGTTTTAAAACTATCTTTATGAAACTTTGCAGAAGTCCCTTATTCTGTTGCACGCAGTACATATGTCAGGACCAGCTGGATCGGACCACTATATCATAAAGCTGCCATGGGAACGATCGGTCGAAAATGAAGTTGTTGTATCAAAAAACATTTTGTTTATCAAGATATCTTGACCAACTCGGCATTTATTAGTTTTACTATGCTCCTCATATATATGCAAAATCCTATTAAGATCGGACCACTATATCATATAGCTGCCATGGGAACGATCGGTCGAAAATGAAGTTGTATGGAAAACTATTTTGTCATTCAACATATTTTGATTAAACACGGCATTTAGAGATTTTACTATGCTCCCTTCATTTTTGCAAAATCTTATTCACATCGGACTACTATATCATATATGTAGCTGTCATAGGAACGATCGGTCGATTACTAGGATTTTGATTAAGAACCTTTTTATCAAGATATCTTGACCAAACTCGGCATTAACTATTTTCCCGGGCAAAGCACTATAAGCATTATGAAAAGGTTGGGACTGCAAGGGTACTCGATCTTCGGCGTGCCGAAGATAGCCCTTTCTTTCTGTTTTTCTTGTTGAACTGTGACAAATTATTCCACGGAATTTCGTACAGGTACCGGACTTGGCGTGACCTTCGGTATTGGGGCGGAGACGGCATCAATTGGTTGGGCATGAGAATTCATGGATTTTCGAATTGCTTATCGTTTGAAAATCGTGAGAAAATGCACAATTAAAATTGATATTTTACTATAAATAAACAATCGCGCTAGCCAAACAACAACAAATACGAATTTCGGACCAAAGAGGTTATCAAGACGACGCATTGAATTTCTTTTTAAATGCGCCTCACACTCTGACAACAACAACATTCATTTTTTTTTTATCGCTCCACAGTAATAAATGCCTAAGCACAGTGAAGACCGGCGCTAATGAACAGCCGCAAAAATAAATCAAAGCCAAAAGTCGTATGAGTTTTCCAATTTGTGTTTGACTAAAGTCAACTCAAGTAATTCTTTTTATATTATAAAAAAAATATAATGCACTTTCAGTTGGCTTCACTGTACTTTCAACATTGAATTCTGTACTGAATGTCGTGCTCTGCATTCGCCGTGTCTGGCTGCGTGCGTCTGGGTTATGGGTCAGCAGAAATATGGAAAAGGTCAGCTGGCCAATCGTGATGTAGTTCTCGTTCTTTGTGGCCACTGTATATCTCTCTCTCTCTCTCTCTCTCTCTCTCTCTCTCTCTCTCTCTCTCTCTCTCTCTCTCTCTCTCTCTCTCTCTCTCTCTTGTTGTTGTTTTCGTTTTGCCTCTGTCCACGATAAGGCACAGCAGAGCTGCCTCAAGTGCGTGTCCAAGCGCAGACACACCATAGATAAATAACAAAAACCTCTTTCACCAAATACAACAGATACTGAAAAGCAAATTGTGAAAAGGATCAATTTTATCTGTGCCCTTTGAAATATCTCCATGGAAGTTTTTGCCACATGGCCGCATCTGTTTAGCCTGGACGAGAGCGCATCTTGTGTTGGGCAACTTGGCACAGATTCCAACAGAGATTGATTAAGTAAACAACACATCTTGGCCAACAGCTGGTTACCTGATTTATGCATGTGAACAATTCTGGAACCGTTTCCGTTCGCATTGTTGTTCCAGAAATGTGGCTATTGTTATTCTTGTTTTTGCTTGAAAACAAACTGAGTTGTAGGAGGGAGGGCAGATGAAATAAAGAGAGGGAGAAAGAGAGAGAGAGAGGGGAGAGAGACGACGGAAACAGACTTTTCACAACCCTCGCCCTCTTCCATATGTACACACACATTTATTTACAATTGTTTATGAAAAAAATTCAATTTCTCGCATTTCCTAAACATTAAATAAATTTATAATTGTACACAAAACAAGTTCAAGACTTAAAATCCTTGATGTTAAAATAATCTAAAAATAAAAGAAGCATTTTTTTGCAAACATCTTTTTTTAAAGAGTTTTTTGTTATTTGAAATATTATGTAGAAATCTATAAATTGTATATAGAAATCTGTTTATAACAAACATTATATTGTGACTCAACTATTTCGCTAAATAATATTTTCCATTTATAACATATAATTCGTAGATCTTCTAGTAACATTTGATCTTGGGCATGCTTGAAACGAGACCCGGAACGAGATTCAAAGCAGACATTAATCAAATCAGTGTCTTTCAGTGCCTTTGGCAAGTAAATTTACTCAAAGACAAGACGATTTTAAGGTGTATTGCATTGGGCCAAAAATAACATAAATTTGTATGACAACAAAAAAAGAATAGATTATGTTTCGCCAAGCCTGGTTGGGTTCGCCAGGCGTTATACATATAGAATATATATTATATATATTATGATATATAGTAGATATAGGGATTTACTAGAAATTGTATTTAGCTCAGATGATTTTGAGAAGAATTATCAAAGATTATAATGTTCTGCACTCTGTAACAGCTGGATCTATCTCGTTTTAAAAACATTTCAAATAATACAAAGACTTGAGTGCAAAAACAAATAACTATTAATTATATTATTGATAAATAAAACAAAAACTGCAAGTTCTTATCGTTTCAGAAGCAATCTTGAGTAGTATTCCAAACAAACATTGAACTTAAGATAAGAAACTTGTAATTGAGACAGACAGACTATTAAACTAGACTCTTTCCACAGTATGCACGGACCCTATCAAGATGTCTAACAGAACAATATAACTCTACAAATTGCTTCCTCAATTACCAATGTATAACTAATTTGATCTAATGAGATCTAATGATATCTAATGTTATCTATGTCTCTGACAAGCAGAGCACACAAAGTGGTAAATCGAATGTAAATAAAGTGAAAGTGCAGTTATGCAAATGTTGGTTTAGAGGAGAGATTATGGTTGGATTTATATAATCCGTATACGTACTTCTGTTTGTAGCCGTAAAACCAGTGTGTGGTCTCCTTGAGAATTATGACAGCATCGCCCACATCCAGGTTCAGGCGATGTGGCTTCGTATCCTGATCAAAGTTGCATTTGGCTGTAAACGAAAATAAATGAAATTTAATAAAAAATGAATATATACATATATATATATATATATAGTTGTATTATTAGTGGAATCACCTGTTGCGCGGCTCGTTGGTTAAGCTAAACTGAGCTATGTGAGGGCAAATTAAAGCTCAGTCGGATTAAAGCTCGGCCAAAGCCCCGATCTGGCACTGGGCGCAATTTGGGGCGAGGGTTATCAATTACATAGTTAGCAAAAATATATATATATACATATATGTATATGATGCTGGGCATCGGTAACTAGGGTTGTCGCTTTGCCCGGCGGATGGGGCTGATAACAATGGCCCCAGCGTTCTACGTGAGATTTATCTCTGACTGCATGCTTCCTATGCAACACAGCATAAAGCTGATAAACTTCTAGTTAAATGACGCATTTTCAAAGAATGAAGAAATGCAATCAGCGGGGCAGAGCGGGGCTGGGCGGGGCAGCAGCAGATGAGGATCGAGTCAAAGCCGCTGTCACCACAGTCATGCAACTGGCGGACGGTCAACCAAGTCGATTCGCTGGCGACATCGTCATCACTTCCTCGCCCGATAACGAAAGCTGCACACAACCATAACAACATATGCGCATATGCATATGTGTATGCATTTTTTATATGTATGTATGTAGATATAATTAGGCAGCGCAACAGAAAAAAACAACAACAACAAAAAACGCTGCCGCCTTCGCGTAACACGCCCCGGGTGGTGGCGTTGGTGGTGCTGCTCGTGGTGCTGCTGGTGACGGCGTCTCGGTCCAATGACCGACACGCGGTCTCTGTGGCTCTGATGAACGAGCATAACCAGCAAGAACGACCTCCACAGCACATAAAACGAAAAACAACAACAGCAGCAACAACAACAGCAATGAGTGGCAGCAATTTGCAAAGGTATCTCTTGATACCCTTTGAAAATGTATGTAAAAGGGTATTATGTTTTTGTGCAAACGTATGTAACACTTTTTTTTTAAATATAAACTTTTATTGTATTGCATTAAAAATAGCATAAATATTACGTATCACTAAAGGTTATTGCCCGGCCTTGCCCGTGCAACACGTTTCTTGTTAATAACTACCTTTCAACTAAGTTCACGCTGCAGGAAATTAAAATCTACCCCACTTGATCTACACTTCGATTTAAGAATATATTTTAAGTGCATCGCATATAGAAACAAGTGTTGCCCATTTTAGTCCTGCGGTGAGAATCTTGAAAGCTGTAGAATAAACTTTCGTTCATTAAACCCCGCATTTGCCAGCCAAAAACTTATCGAATAAATTCTCACAAAGATCTTTGAAAATAAGTTTGAGCCCGATCGCATGGGTAACAAAAAAGTTTCATACAAACATTTTTTCCCGATTTTTCCACAAATGCGGGTGGAATTTTCCGAAATCCCGGCTTATTGTAAATCTTCATCATATTATCTTATATTATTTTCATTTATTTCTTTTTCTATAACATTTTCTCATATTAATATCGACAAATATCATTGAGTGCTTGTGTTTGCTGTGTGTTTAGTGTGTAGTCGCATATACAGGGTATCTTCGAGTCTTGCACTCCCCAGATCACTCTTATTTTCCATTCGCTCGCTTCTGTATTCACTAACATTTGTTTGAGACTAAGAGAGTTATTCATTATCTGCCCAATTGCATGGAAAGTTGGACACGGAGTGGGTCAATTGCAAAAACCAGTCGAGCTTGGCGAGCAAAATTTAGTCTATGCGCAAAAATTGCGACTGCGAATGCGAATTAATGCGCATTTTTTAACAGCTACGCTTCAAATGAGGAAATTGGTTGTTTAGTGCCGGTTAAAGGAAAACAATATGGGAGTAACCGACCAGGGAATACCCTGTAGCCAGCTCTCAACTTATCTGAGCTACATTTGAGCTGTCAAGCTTTAACCTGCTGTTAAAAGAGGTAGTTAAAATTGTCAGTAGGTTAGATATATAGGGTTTGGATGCTCTGCTTTTAAATCCCAATCTTGCTTAATTTGATGTTCATTTATTTGAATTTTCCGGTTTATTGCTTTAAAATAATAATAGATTTTGTTATCATTATTTTTATAGTATCATTAAGTGGCTTTCATCATCACTAAAATTTCTTATTCTTTTTTTTTTAATTGTTTGTTGTATTGAATCAAAAATAGCATTTTATTATTTCTCTGCTTATTTTAATGGGTATTTATGGTGCAATCAAATGTATCTGCTCGTCGAGAACTTTGAGCTCTCGCTTTCTCTCTCTCTCTTCTCCCTCGCTCGCTCTCTCTCTCTCTCTCTCTCTCTCTCTGTAACTTACTTGTATTAAATTTCAATACACTAAGCGATTATACATAAACTTAAAATATTCTTATGCAAGATTATTAAACGTCAATGCATAAAGCACTCAATTTCTGGGAAACGGCGAATGATTCATCATGATGATGATGACGACGACGACGACGTCGACGACGGTCAACCAATCAGTCATTGGGCGGGGCACACACCTTGCTCGGCAACATCGGCTATGGGAGGGTCATTAAATCGAACTCATTTCCCTTGCTGATGCACGCGATCAGGCAGCAGGAGGCGATTGTTAACTCTAGCCAGACCTATAACTATATCGGTCTAACGGAAACAATCGTGAATAATGAAATGCAACTGGTGAGGGTTGGCAACAGGCCAAGTCACGGCTGAATGGTGGGAGAAAAAAGGGCACAGACAGCCCAGCATAAGCCAGGTAAAAGCCAGGTAGACGACAACGACGACCACAAAGAGGAGTTCCCTTTCCTCTGCACACTTTACGACCAGCCAGGCTGTGGACAAATTGTGCAACAAAGAGCGCAATTGTGAGGGAGACGACTTTGTTGGCTGCGGATGCAGCTGAATGTGCCCCCCCCCCCCCCCCCCCCCCCCCCCTCCTCACTCCACTCTTTAAACAGGGCGTGGCAGCACGTGCAAATGTGCAAACAGAGCTCGAAGCTGCTGCTGCCAATGTTGCCTAGAATATGAAGCACAACAATCATCATAATAATAATAACAATAACAACAAATTGCCAACAAGTAAAAAAAAACAACGACGCTTCGTCATCTTACCCCACACACACACACACACAAGCATACAAAACACACACGCACAAACAATGTGTGTGTATATAAAAAGAAAACACAATCGTGACTGGACGACAGCGGCTCATTTGGATATTTCAGGTTTAAATAGCACGCGGCTTGACGGTTTACATACTAAGAAGTATATAAGCTGCTTGAGGAGCACACGTAAATCCCAGGTGATACTCTGATACTACTTCCAAGTCGTCATAGCTGATGCATAAAAACGGAATTATAGTTTTTAATGAAGTGTCGATAGTTGTCGATAGTATTGAGCATAGCCCGAGAGAATCATTTGTGAACCAGTTCATTAATGCTTTTGATATAGTATATTTGTTATGCTAGTTCCATCCGTTAGTTTTAGAGAAGTTCCAAATGAGGCAGATCTAGTTCAATCTTATAAGATAATCTTAAGTACGAATTATTTAATACAAAACGAAGCAAAAAGACGATATATACATATAGATATTTTTTGGCGAAAGCGTCTAAAAATGATGAAAAGAGACGGCAAACATATAAATACCTTTAAGTTGGCAGCGCATTAGCGACAATTAATGTTTCAATTGTAAGAAAACATTATCAATCCAATGGAAAGCGTTAAATTATTTTTAATTACTTAATTAAACCTATATTTTCGGTATATGCACATTATAAAGGGGTTGCTGTCTGCGTCTGAAACATATAAAAAATGTGCGCTGAATTCATACTAAACTTCCGTGCACAACTCGGATTCACGAATTGGTATGAGCAATTCATATATTGCTCGCGATCAACCAATTAAATTTTTCACATGTTGCATAATAGTTATTGTGGAATTGTAACCGGAATAAAATCATTCGCACGTTGCGGACATTGCGGTCGAATAACAATCAAAATCTTAAGAAATCATTGAAAGACCCGTTAGTATATTTATCAATCATCGTGACTGCTGCTCATCACTAAATCTCTTTTATTCCAATTACTTGTGCTCATCTCTAATTCTATATTTTTCAGCGACTGCTGCTCATCACTAAATCTCTTCTGTTCCAGTGACTGCTGCTCATCTCTAGTTCTATTCTGTTCCAATGACTGCTGCTCATCTCTAAATGCCTTCTGTTCCAGCGACTGCTGCTCATCACTAAATCTCTTCTGTTCCAGTGACTGCTGCTCATCTCTAGTTCTATTCTGTTCCACCGACTGCTGCTCATCTCTAAATGCCTTCTGTTCCAGCGACTGCTGCTCATCTCTAATTCTATTCTGTTCCAGCGACTGCTGCTCATCACTAATTCTATTTTGTTCCAGTGACTGCTGCTCATCTCTAATTCTATTCTGTTCCAGCGACTGCTGCTCATCACTAATTCTATTTTGTTCCAGTGACTGCTGCTCATCTCTAATTCTATTCTGTTCCAGCGACTGCTGCTCATCACTAATTCTATTTTGTTCCAGTGACTGCTGCTCATCTCTAATTCTATTCTGTTCCAGCGACTGCTGCTCATCACTAATTCTATTTTGTTCCAGTGACTGCTGCTCATCTCTAATTCTATTCTGTTCCAGCGACTGCTGCTCATCACTAATTCTATTTTGTTCCAGTGACTGCTGCTCATCTCTAATTCTATTCTGTTCCAGCGACTGCTGCTCATCACTAATTCTATTTTGTTCCAGTGACTGCTGCTCATCTCTAATTCTATTTTGTTCCAGTGACTGCTGCTCATCTCTAATTCCATTCTGTTCCAGTGACTGCTGCTCATCTCTAATTCAATTCTGTTTTAGTTGTTGTCGTTGTAACGCATTAAGTCAGCCTGTTTTCTAAGCTCATTTGATCTTGGCGCTCGGTTCTCTTAGCTGGTAGCTAAGCTATGGTTATGTTTGTGTGTGTGTACATGTCTATATGTGTGTGTGTGCATTTGTATATGCGAGCTGAGTTTTGAGGGTCAATTATAATGGTTCTCAAACGGTTAAGTCTCAGCTCGTCTGGCTAATAATAGAAGCTTCTCCTATACAAACATATGTATATGTACACACATACATACATATGCATATATGTTATATACACCTCAAAAGTATATATCTTAGGGAGCTCTCGAGAGTTTAGCGTAACGCTTTTTATGGGCATGTCGAAACAGAAATTCCATTGTATTTATACATTTTTTTCTTCTCATTTTGCAAAAGTTATTAAACAAACAAAACATTCTGACAGTTATACGGTAAGACACAAAAGATAAATAAAGAAAAAGAGAACAAAACCAATTTGAAGATAAGATTTTATGTGCAGTTGACAGTTACAGTTAATGGCGCCGCGCTCGTAAAACTCACAAAAATTACTCAAAAAATTAGACGCGGTACAAAAAAAAAAACTGTTGATAGTAGTTCTTATTATGGAGCGAACCATAAAAACAACGATGCCGAGCGACAATGTGGAAATGTAAACACAAACTTGACCCATTTGGGTCAAAATAAAAGATACAATATTTACAGGCAGGAAGGATACAACTTTTATGGCCAGTTTAAGCTTTCTAGGAACGCCTTTTAGCGCATTGCGGTAGTCCAGATATACAGTACTTCTCACTCTATTAATAATAGGAATATACAAATAAATCTCTTTACTTTTTTCAACTTAAAAGTAGTTGGTTTGAATTATACAGACACACACAAAAGTATTTGAACAGCAAGCATTTTCTGTTTTGCACCCATTTTGCGTCCGTTTTTACTAACAAACATCCATCCAAATTAATTTTTCCTTATAAACTAGTTAATTTCTTACAAAAATCAGTTAAGGTTTTTTTTACTCGATTTATTTTTACGTTTTTACCCATCTGGCAACGCTAATGTATCTAATAGGATATGAATATGCGTACATACGTATGTATAATATTTTCAAAGACTGTACTCCTGAGTCATGCAATACTGTTAACCCAGGGTTCGTGGACATTGAGTGCTTGATCGTAACATTAGAAGTTCTCAATAACGAGACATTTATGCGGCATGCCGAATGACTCAGTCGATGCCAAGTGAAATCCAATTGCTTTCTACGTAGATTCGATTCTCCACAGAGAACAGAAATTGCGCTCTACACAATTTATGCTTAAATATTCCAGCTTTCCAGCTTTCCACGATTGGAAAATGCCAATTTACAATTGACAACAAATGATGCGACAATCTCTTGATATTGGCGATTTATAGAGCAATAAAGTCTCGTGTCCAAGGGTAGATGTGATGGCAATGGCTGCGATTAAATTTCAATTTGGATTGCAAAATGGAAAGCGCAGATTGACTTTCGAGTGCGTGCGGAGAGTGGAAGGGGCAATGGAAGTAGATATCAAAATGTAAGTGGATGTCGCTTTGAGTAGTTTGCACAATTGTCGGGGGATGTGTTCATGCAGGGAGGGGAGGGGTGGGAGGGGAGGAGGTACTTTTGTGATTTTTTCGAATGCTGCTGTTGATAGTTTCAAGCCCCCGCAAACAGTCGGGGTGGGGGGAAATGGAATTTTATTTGTACAAGTGCTAAATCTGGCAACTCTCATATTTACATATACATACATATACACATATGTCTGTATGTGTTGGGGTCAGCTGCATTGGAGTTGCTTTGTCATGCCAGAAAATTTGCCGCTGGATCAAAATGGAAAGCACTTTCAATTATGCAAATGTAAAGGCATTTCATGCGCCACAAAAATTAACGAACAAGAAAATTTTAATTAAATAGAAAAACCAAACCCCAAAGCCATGGAGCCAGAGCAACTCATCAATTCGACTCAGCTCAACCCGATCCCTCTCATCACGTCTTACTTTTCAATGCAGGGCCTCATTAAGTTTTACGTTTGCTTTGCTCTTGTTGTCGTCTTTGTTGTTGTTGTTGTTGTTGCTATTCAAATTTAGAAGTAGAATGCATGGTTGCCTACTCTCATTTGCTCTCTCTCTCTCTCTCTCTCTCTCTCTCTCTCTCTTTTACTAAAGAAAATATCGTATAAAGCGCCGAGTCAAGTGTAAATAGCAAAAGGAGTAAAAAAGAAAAAGTGTGTAAGCAAGGTGGGGGTAGAAGGAGCACGGGACAGGCCAGTGTCGCAGGTGCAGCAGACGCTCAACCAATGCCAATGAACATTGAAGTAGCAGAGTAAATGCCTGACGGCGACTGCTGCATGTCACAAATCAACACAAATAGACAGGCGGCTAAAGAGAGTAAGAGAGAGAGAGAGAGAGAGAGAAAGCAGAGAGCGTACAGTGGAGTGTGGGTGCGTGCATGTGAATGTGTGCGTGTACATGTGCTCACACACATTGATCAGTGGGGGGGTGGGGGTAGCGTGCGCTTTCTGCTTTGCATTCAAATTGAGCCTTTTTCAAGCATCTAATGACAAATGAAAAGAATAAATAAATAAATACAAACAAAAGCTTAAGAAATTTTTCTATTATTTGCTCAAATGTGGGACAGCGAATCGCATTTTTATCGCATTTCGAAATGCGTTGCATTGTTGTTGTTCAGCAATACACACACACACACATACACACACAAATGCAGACACATGTATTTGCTAAGTGCCTTAACTATAAGACGAAGGCGTTAAAATAAAAATAAAATACAAACTTGCGATAAGACAACAACAAACTATTGTTGATAAGCAAATGGTTTGTGTTTGTTGTGTGCGTTATGGCCACATTTTAACGGCTAGCACATGCCGCAAGGATAACTTGGGCAAATCTTAAAACGTGTTTTAGTGTTAAGTTCTTTTAGCTAGAAATATTAATAAATATACATACATATCTATATGCATGCATATGTATGTGTACATATATGTGAGTTTCTCATTACAATAGCGACAAATGAAACTAAGCTCAATGCCGATTGTAATCTAACATTATATCATTTTCATATTTTTACGTACAGAAAGGCCGCATAATTTGATTACGTTTATTGCACCCACGCCCACCAGTGTACCCTACTGGGCGCATGCTGAAATTAGTTCGACAGTGTTGGGCAGCAAAGCAGGGAAAGAGACCATATACAGAGCGGGGCCAGGGCAGACAAACTTGTGAACATATAATAAGCGCAAACAAATTTTATGAGTGTTGTGAATGAACAGTTAATTCGATTGCGAGAGTGATGTGCAAATACATATGTACACGAACATACGATGTATACATATGTATGTGCACTCTACCTATCTATTGAACACCGAAAAGGTCAACAAACAAAAGAGCCGACAATAATAAAACAAATTCACACGTACACACAGGTCGATGAGAGCATTTCAAAGATATTACTATTGCCATTTCATGGTCATTGCCAATGAATAGACTAGAATTTGTTGTGCATGGAAAATGGATGTTTGTTTTCTCGCATGCACACAAAAGTAAGTGTGTGTGTGTGTGTACATTTAAGTGTAAGTGAGTGCAACCAGGCGATAGAAAACAGGTTACAGCTTTACGAGTGCTCAACAGACAGGCAGACCTGAATATATATGTTTGCCTGTGTTGAAAAGTGACGCGTAGATGCGGAGGCTGCAACGAAATAGGATGAGATCGAAAGAAAAACGAAATTAATGTGCACGCAGAGGAAGAACAAGAGGAAAGTCTGTGTCTGTGCATGTTGACACAGCGACCACATGGCCGGCGAATGCAAGGGAGAGGTGCAACAATAACAACAAACTACCGTACCAACGCAGCAGGGGAACCAGAAACCATGAACCAAAGTCAGCGTAGCACTCGCACTTGAGCACAAGGCAAGAAGAGAGCAATGAGAGCGCAAGTTGTTGTTGTTTTTTTTTTTTTGTTTTTTTTTTTGGAAATGAGTACCACGCAGCGCACCCACACCGAAAGTATTGTTTGTTGTTGTTCTAGGAAAAGGTAGCAGTAAATTAAACATTTTGTTTAAACAATTTTGTTGCGGCTATAACATGTTTGGGAAATAATGTACATGTTGCGTGTTCTAAGCATTCTTTCGACACATTAAAAGTATCTGAGTTTGTTTTTGCTCTTTGATTTTTTAATCTTATTTATTGTTTTTTTTTTGCTAAAATCAGACTCACCAATGCCAAATGACTGCTTAGCATTGCAATCGCTCCACACAGTCATTTTGAATAGTTGTCGGTCGATGTTGTTGTTGTTGTTGTTGATATTGTTAACTTTTGCCACACTAACAGGCACTCACACTCACTCACTCACACACACACACACACACACACACACTAATACGTATATAAGTATTTGTATACACTTTCTTTCGTTTGCAAAATATTAAAGAAAACCGCGACGCGAAATATATAAGATAACAACAATAAAAGGCCGCTTTTGTATTTAAGCAACACGTAGTTGAATTTGATGTTGGTGTTCACATTTTCTTGTTGCCTCGACTGGCATATTATAATTAATATCATTTATTGCACAATTCCATTTCTGCTTTTTTATTTTTTCTTGAGTTTTATGTTATTTGCACTTTATTAGTCGCTGCGTTGTTGTCAATTTGTTCTCATTTTGGGAGTTGGCCGCACATTATCTTTGCTTACGCTCCCGCGCGTGCACACACATACACTCGAGCGGGCATATTTCCACTTCGCTGTTTCGTTCACAATTAATTAATTAACCGGAATGAACCCCGCGCGGACCACTCATTTCAACTGTTGCTCGGCTTCTACTGTGCAATGTGACCAGCCATGGCAAGGGCCAAAATACCAATGTAGTACTTTCATTAAAACGCATAACATTAATCTTTAAATTATTTAATACCATACTTTGTCAGTTATTTTATCAATATTTAATATACTTTAATGTGAGTTGAATTTATTTAATGCACACATTTAAAGATGCCATGCATAATTTTGTTTAGTATTTTATTTATTTTAACGATACCAGGGATGCAAGATATTTTTAGTCGCCTATAAAATCACGCTCGATAGTAAACGAAAACGGCCACATTGTTTTTCGCCAGTCAAGACAGTGAAAAATATTCGGCGCGCCATTTCCGTGTTTGTGCTCCCAAAACAACTTTTAGCAGACTAGACAAAATTGCAATTGTTGGCATTGTTTAACGATCACCGGTTAGCCATTTTACTTGCCTGCCGCACTCAAAAGCAACGCCCAAACAAATATATACACACACATATATGTATATTTATTTGCGCAACGCGAGCTCGTGTTGCAACCATTTGTGAAATCATTGCAAAGTTTGCGAGACAACGCGAGCAGAATTTGACGATTAGCGAAAAGTGTTGTATGTTTGTGTGTACGAATAGTTAGCCGGTGGATCAATCAAGATGTTTGGCGGCGCTAAACCCACATTCGGCGCCGGTGCCGGCACCACGGGCTTCGGCACGTTCAGCAACAGCGCCGCGGCAACGCCTTTCGGACAGTCGGCATTTGGGAAGCCAGCGACGCCCGCGTTTGGCGGCACGCCCGCCTTTGGCGCCCAGCAGACGCAGCCCTCGATGTTTGGTAGCGCGACGGCCACAAGCCAGCCCACTGGCGGCCTGTTCGGTGGCGCAGGCACAACCAGCGCATTCGGCGGCACCACCACAGCGCCTACATCATTTGGAGGTTAGAGACGAACCACAAGCCCTATTAAAACCCTTTGCAGACGATATTTTGTGATATATATATTTTTTATGTACTGCACATTAACATGCAGTATTTTTTGCATACAGACTCCAAGTCCTGCCGTTAATTTTGAAAAATAGTTTTTGTCTGCAAGGGTATTTAATCTTCGGGCAACTCTTCTTGCTTCTCATCTGCTTTGTTTAATGCTTTTCTTTCTTTTTAGCATTTTCGCAGGCCCCGCAGACCTCCAACATATTCGGCTCGACGCAGGCGGCGCCAAACACCTCGCTGTTCGGCCAGGCCGCAACCAGCGCCTTTGGCGCCGCAAAACCAGCTACGATGGGCATGAGCAGCTTTGGACAGACGCCGGCAGCGCAGCCGCTGTTTGGGCAGCAGGCAGCTGCGTCGAGCACATCGGGCTTTGGCAGCTTTGGTCAGGCAGCGCCCACCACAACGAATGTGTTTGGCAGCGGCGCCGCGTCGGCGTTCGGTCAGCCCCAGGCGGTGGCTGTGGGCGCTGCGGGTGGTGTTAATCCGGGCACTTCGCTGGTCAAGTACCAGCCCACTATTGGCACGGACACGCTGATGAAAGGCGGCCAGCCGAACAATGTTAATACCAAACAGCACTGCATTACCGCCATGAAGGAGTACGAGATGAAGTCGCTGGAGGAGCTGCGCATGGAGGACTATCTCAGCTCGCGCAAGGGTCCTCAAGCGGGCAGTGCTCCGGGTGCTTTTGGTTTTGGCAGCCCCGCAACCGGCGCGCAGCCAGCAGCCGGCGGTCTGTTTGGTTCGCCGGCACAGCAGCAGCCCAGCACGGGACTGTTCGGCCAGGCGGGCACGGAGAACAAGAGCCTGTTCGGCAGCTCAGCCTTTGGACAGCCGGCAGCAACCAGCGCCTTTGGTGCGCCCGCCCAGCAGAATAATTTCATGCAGAAGCCGTTCGGTGCCGCGCCGACCAGTGCATTCGGCACAACGACAGCGGATGCCTCGAATCCGTTTGGTGCCAAGCCCGTGGGCTTTGGCCAAAGCGGCGGCAGCATGTTCAGCCAGGCGGCTGCCACGAGCGCTGCTCCAGCGTTTGGACAAACAACCAGCGGCTTTGGCGGTTTTGGCAGCACCGCGGGAACAACTAACCAGCAGACGCCACTATTTGGACAAACAAATGCGACGGATCCCAATAAGCCCGCCTTTGGTCTGGGCGCGACTGTCTCCGCAGCCAACACGGGCTTTGGCGGCTTTGGTGCGCCGGCAACGAGCACCGCAGGCGGCGGACTCTTTGGCTCCAAGCCAGCTACCAGCTTTGCGACACCTGCTTTCGGCGCCAGCTCCACGGCAAACACTGGCTTCGGCAACTTCTCGCTGAGCAACACCAATGCAGGCACCGGCGGCGGTCTATTCAACTCGCAGCTCAACAAGCCGGCCACCTCGGCGTTTGGCGGCTTCGGTGGCACCTCGACGGCGCCGCTCAACTTTAATGCCGGCAACACGGGCGGCTCCATCTTCAGCAATGCCGCCAAGCCCGGCGGTCTATTTGGCGGCACCTCCACGCTGGGCACGGGCACGGGCACTGCTATCGGTGGTGGCGGCGGACTCTTTGGCACTAGCGGCACGGGTGGTGCCTTCGGTTCGTCGCTGGGCGGTGGTTTTGGTAACCTGGGCGGCGGCAATATGGCGCTGTCCGGCATGGGCGGACTGGGCGCGGCGCCGGCTCAGGGCGTGGTGATGGTGCCCATACATCAGCAGATTCTCTCGAAGGTGACATCGCCGTACGGCGACACGCCCATCTTCAAGGATCTGAAGCGCAGCGATGATGTGGATGCCACGCGGGCCACAAATCCCGCCGCACAGCAGGCGGTGCTGGACATGAACAGCAATCAGTTTAAGATCACCAACAAGGAGAGTCCGGCCAGCATCCGTGTCAAAGCGCTGAGCAACTCGAAGAATCGCAAATCCATGTTCGAAGGCCTCGAGGAGTTCGATGCCAGCGTGGAGGGCTTTAACCTCAAGCCGAACGTCAAGCGGCTGGTGATCAAGCCCAAGGTGAAGACAACACCCAATCCAGGCGAGGCCAGTAGCATGGCCATGAACAATAACAACAGCAACTCGGCAATTGTGGGTGTAGTGCGTCCGCAACGTGAATCATTCAACAATGTTATTCCCAACGAGCCGTTGCCCAGCGGCAGTGCCAACAGCTCGCCGGCAATGCAGAAGGCGGATCAGGACAGTAGCCGACGTGAGTCCTGGCTGCATCCCAACAATTTGGCCAAGGTGCGTCAGCACAATCTACAGTCGGGCATGGATCAGGCACCGCTGAACAGCACACTCACGGAGCTGGTGCCGCGCAAGCCGCTGGAAACCTATAAGAGCACGCTGCCCACACGTCTATCAGTGTCGACCATACCGGAGAATCCATTCGAGGATCAGGCCAGCAGCATTGCGCGACGCGACACTTTCACCTCGGAGCATGGCAACGAGAGCACACTCTCCATTCGCTCCCATGACTCGGAGCAGCGTCTGGCTATTGAGCCGCCAACGGAAGCTGATGCCAATGCCGATATCGACACTGAGCCGCATCCAACGGGCATTGTGCTGCGCCGCGTGGGCTACTACACCATACCGCCATTGGACGATCTCAAGTCGTATCTTGCCGAGGATGGATCCTGTGTGGTGCCCAATTTCACAGTTGGTCGCGAGGGCTACGGCAACGTCTACTTTGGCAAAGAGCTTGACGTGGCCGGGCTCAATTTGGATGAGATTGGTAAGTAGGGAGATGGGAGTTTAATATCCACCAATGCTTAATCCTTAATCCTTCTTTTCCTGCCCCCGCAGTACATTTCCGCAACAAGGAGGTCATCATATACCCGGATGATGACAACAAGCCGCCCATTGGAAGCGGCTTGAATCGCGAGGCTCAGGTTACCTTGGACCAGGTGTGGCCAGTGGACAAGACCAAGCACGAGGCCATCAAGGATCCTCAGCGTCTGATCGAAATCGACTGGGAGGGCAAACTGCGTCGCGTCTGCGATAAGAACGCCACACGCTTCATTGAATACCGACCCGAGACTGGCAGCTGGGTGTTCCGCGTCAAGCACTTTTCCAAGTACGGTCTCAACGATAGCGACGAGGAGGATGAGGAGATGCCCACCGATCCGAAAAAAGCCAAAATGGTGGCAATGGATGCTCAACGCGCTGCTGCCGCTGATAAAATGACTTTGACATCGCTGCGCAAAGCGCAGAAAATCTCCGAGGAGGCGGCACGCAGCATGGATCCCAAATCATTGGCCGCCGGCGTAGTCAGCGGCTTTCGGCCCATGGACAACTCGGCGGAGTTTCTGATGATGGACAAGACGCGTGCGTAGCTCTAGCTTACACTTTCCATTTAAATTATATGCTAAATATTTGTGTTTGTTTCCTGCAGAGTTCTTTCAAGCCGGCAGCGGCACGGACTTCTCTATGTTCGATGCGCCCCGTACTGTGACCAGCCCCACGGCCGCTCTGGCTCAAGAGGTTGTCGGCAAAGAGCCGCACAAAATGCAACTGATGAAATCGTCCCTATTTGTGGAGGACCAAGGCAGCGACGACGAGATGGGTGTGTACCTATAAAGTAGCTTTATCTGTAAAAGAATCATGTCAAAATTGTGCTCAAGTCGAGAGTTTCCTATACTCAGTCTTAAGTTCCTCGTCAGTACTTGTTTTTGGACACAAGAACATGAAGATATATCAAAAATCAAGATGTCTCAAAAATCAAGATTGTGGGCTTTACGAAAAACTATAAATCAAATGTTTTGTTTCTACGAGATATGCCCAAATATATATTTGTATCCGATTTTAAAGCAACTGTAGGAAAATGTATATTAAAGATTTTAATTATAGTTATATTTCTGATGCCCTAGTTCTTGTTAATTCAAATTTGTTTGCCGCTTAGCTAATTGTTTAATCCCAATTTATTTATGTAAATCGCAACAGACACACAGCCGATGCTTAATCGACCCCAGCTGAAACGCACTCAAAACCTGTTCTCGCAGGACACAAATCTGTGGAAGGATGCGGCTGCCTCGGAGACCTCAAGTGATTATGGACGTCAATCGCCACTCTTAGCCGTATCCTCTTCAGCTTCTGTAACTAGCATTATCCGCGAATTGCAATCGGAGGAGGTAAAATTCGGCACATTGTTCACTTTTATTCCTGTTACTCATTTCGTTTTCTTGCAGGCCTCATCGCTGGCAGCCGAAAGCATTATTCCAGCTGAAACGAAGGCTCCAGCAGCGTCTTTGGGTGGCCTAAAGCCATTCAATTTTGTTATCAAACCCAAAGTGGCACCCATTAAAGTATTCGCCACCACGGTGCCTTTGACGCGTTCCATAACGAAGGGCCTCCACGAGCACTGGATTGCGGATCTGGGCTTCTACAAGGGACGAGCCTTCAAGCTTAGCTTTGGACCACAAAACACGCTGATGGTGCCCAACACATACAACAATCTGCGCAGCGTGCATGAACGTAAGTGCTCGAACTTGGCCAGCAATTCACTTTAATGCTGACCTACTTTTTGTTCTATTAAAGTTAGTTCTAGGGCCTTGCCCGCAGCGCTTGTTTTCGAGCCACGCGCCTCAAACGATTTCTCGCCCAATTTGCTGCAGCGCATCAAATTCAATACAATCGATATGTACGCTGATTTTGCTGAAAGCATTGTGCCACATTTGCAAGTGCAGCTGCAGGGCTGCAGCTCGAATCAGGTGGAGGGCAGCGACTGTCCCTGGCTGCAGTCGAGCAATGGAACACAACTGATTGCCAAGCATTTGGCCGAGGCCATTAAGCTAAACAACACCAGCAGCATGGCCAGCTATGGAGTCTCCGTATGGTCCCTCTTGTTCACACTGTGGGGTGAGCATGAGGAGCTCATCGGCCAGGATGTCAGCTCGCACTATGTGGTCATGTGCCGACGCAATCTGCTTTCGGAGTGGCTGGAAAACACGCTGGTCAGCAAGGATCTGCTCTCAAAGAAGGTCAGCAGCAATAGTTATCTGGCGCATATGCTCGAGTTGTTGAGCTGCCATCGTGTGACCGAAGCCTGCGAATTGGCCTTCAAATATGACGATGCCAACCTAGCTTTAATCCTGGCACAACTTAGCTCTGGTGCTGTGGTCCGGCTGCTCCTAGAAGAGCAACTCTTTGCCTGGCAGCAGAGCAAATCGGATAAGTACATTAGTCTGGAGCGCATTAAAATGTTCATGATGGCCGCGGGCGTGCCGCTAATGCAGTCCTCACATGGCCCCATCAATCTGCTGGAGGACGGCAGCTGGCTAACCGTTTTGGCACTGCAGCTGTGGTACTTTACGGCGCCCACCTCAACCATAACTGATGCCATGCTGGAGTATGACAAGGCTTTCCAGACCGATGAGCTCTACGCGGAAGAGCCGAGGCCCAGCTACAAAGGCGTACCCTACACCAGCAAGAGTCCTGTCTATGATCTGCGTTACCACCTGCTGCAGCTCTACTCGAAGCGTAAGCATTCCCTGGAGCAAACATTGAACCCGATTACACACACCTCCGATCCCATGGACTTTCGGCTAAGGTAAGCTGATGAAAGCTGATCAACTGTTAAACAATTAAACAACTATATTTTTTGTAATTTACAGCTGGATGTTGCTACAAACCTTGGAGGCGCTCGGCTATTGTCACTGCAGCTCGTTGGCAGAGGCGCAGCTACACGTGGACTTTGCTAGCCAGCTGGAAAATGAGGGTCTGTGGCAGTGGGCCATATTTGTGCAGCTGCACATCAAGGATCGAAATCAGCGCGAACGTGCTGTGCAGCACACACTGCAGCAGCATGTCAGCATAGACGCCGATGTGCCCCTGAACGAGGAGGAGCTGTTCGTCATAGAACAGTTGGGAGTGCCCGAATCTTGGGTGGACTACGCCAAGGCGCTGAAAGCGGGAGCCCAGAACCAGCGCCATTTGCAGGCAAAATATCTGCTGAAGGCCAAGCATTGGGTACTGGCGCATGAAGTCATCTATCAGTATATCGCACCAGATGCCGTCATTAACAGTAATTATGATAAACAATTAAGTACATAGAATGTTTTTTTTTTTTTTATATAATTGTTAATTTGTTTTAGGCAAACTGCAATACTTATACAATCTGTTGAGTCAGTTTGAGTGTACGGACGGCAGCAATGTCAAGGTGCCAAATTGGACAAATCAGGGTCAGATATTTCTGGATTACATTGACATCAATGAGAAGTTCAGGCATATACACAACGTCAGTAGCGTGGAGGACATACATGCGCGATGGGAAAACCTAAAGCCCCAGCTAAGTGAGATATGCTCGCGCATTAGCCTGTTGCCATGCCCCACATCGAAGCATCGTCTATGCCAGAGCGAAATAGCCAAGAGCTTGAGCTGCCTGGTGAATGGCATGTGCATAGTCTGTCCAGAACTCGAGCCGTGTGTCGTTTTGAAAATGGCTTTGGAACGCTTGCCCATGCCCCAGGAGTTCTCCACCAAAGAGCTAAACAATCTACTCGACGAGCTGATGCACAAAATACAGAACCAGCGGCCATTCACAGACTCAGAATCCGCGCCACTGCACACCACCGAGCGCATAATGATGCAAACTTAAACAAATAGGAAAACATCCATAGATAACTAAGCAGGGAAAAAGTGAAAAACAAAAGATTTGTAGTTTAGCAAACAGTTTCATTTAGATTTATGAATATATATATATATTAAATATGTGTATTGCACTTAGATGTTAGGTCCTACACACAAAAACAAGCATTAGTAATTATTTAAAACAAACAAAAAATCTATAAATACTTGTATAATATGCAACGTTTCGTTACAAAGACAAACTTTCAATTATATGATGCGATTATTATTAATTTGTTTACCATCTAAAAAATTGATCCAATGTTTATAATAATAATTTGCAACGTATTCTTCAGAAACAATAAAATTAATATAGTTGTTTTGTGACTTTAAAAAATTGTTAAACTATTAAGATTCCCAGACTAACAAAGTGCATGTTTTAAATGTAACTAAATTCAATTAATCTTAAAAAAGGCCCTCAGAAATTGTACATCGCCTGGATCTGATATTTGTTTAATAACTTTAAAGTATGACTAAAAATTAAATTTAAGCGCCGCGCTAAAAGCTTTTATTAGTTATCGATAGTTGTTCAGATTAAGCTCTTCAGCTTCTTCCCCGGTTACACCTGTTGCTGCCGTTGCCGATAAGCGAGATCTGCAGCTTTTCGATCAGTCGACGACGGGCAGTTATCAGTAAAGCATAATAACTATTTGAGCGAATGTAAAAATTGTTACGCTAAAAGATTTGTCTAATTTGCATAAAGTTCGTTAGAATTGCGCAGCACACATGTCGGAATCCAGACCAAGTCCGTGGTGTGGACGAGGCGACAAGCAGCGGGAATTTGCCAAGCACCAGCCCATCATATGCTATGATAAGCCGGCGGCAGCTATCGTGTCCAAGGACGAATACGATGTAAGTTGAACTATAACTAGGTCAGATATAGTCAGATAATGAACAGCTTCTATCTTGTGCAGGATAAACGCTATCAGGCCTTGACTGGCGAGCTGGTGGAGACATTGGTGGTGCCGAAGCGCGAGGCGCGCACCTGGACCATGCAGACGGGTGATCTGTGCCGCATTACCGTACATGAGGGCGCCCAGGTGGGCGATGTCAACTTGTGGAATTTGGAAAATCGGCAAGAGCGCTTCTATTCGGGCAAGACGCGCCAGCTGCACGCAGCCCATCTGCAGGTGTACGACAGACTCTGGAGCTGCCTGCCCTACCTGCGTCCCATGGCCACCTTCGTGTTCGACACCCTGGCCAAGTATGGCATCGACGAGGATGGCGGCGCTCTGCATGATGTGATCGGCACCCGCTGCGATGACTATACATATAAACTCATAACCGGGCAGGAGCGTGTGGGCAGCTGCCACAGCTCCCTTGTCAAGGCGGTGGTGGAGGAGCGCGGCATGACCGAGCAGGATGTGCACGATGTGTGGAACATATTCATGTGCACCGGCTTCACCAAAGATACGCAACAGTACTTCTGCAAGCCCAGTCCCGCCCAGAAGGGTGACTTTATTGAGTTCATAGCCGATATGAATTTATTGGTGGCTCTCAGTGCCTGCCCCCAGGGCGATGTTTCCATACCGGTGGGTGCCGCAGTGCCCGATGAGAAGTGTCATCCATTAAAGGTTGAAGTATTTCGCCGGAAATAATGGCAAATATATCTAAATATGTGTGATACATACATGTAATTAAATATGGATCCTTGAAGACGAATCAAATAAATAGAGTATTTTGATATGTATATAAGTGTTTCATTTCTTATAAAGTATAAGTATAAGTGTAAGTATATGTATAAGTATAAGTATGAGTATAGGTATGAGTATAAGTATATGTATAAGTATAAGTATAAGTATTGCATTTCTTATAAACTGCAAGCTGAGAGCCATAATCTTATTGTTTATACAATTGTTATTAGTTGAGTGTATTCAAAGAATTTAACTGGCAATAATTCCATAGAACCAATATACTCATTTTAATGCTGTGAACAGAGTATACAAAGTGAATATTGACTATTTTGGAAGTTCTTAGCCATTGTAGTCAGTCGTAAATATGGGATAAATTAATTAATTCGAATTTCATCACTCCAGCCACAAATTTCATCTGTGCTGGTTGTTTATTATTTCTTTATACAAAGATATGTTTGGCAGCTGCAACAAGTTGTGGGCAGCGTATGCAACATTTCAGTCATACAAAAATCATAGAACTGCAATATGACAGTTCATGCATGTATGACTGTATGATTGCAACATGATCGTTGTTTGAAAGGCATGCGTACTATTTTATTGGCATTTGTTTGTATCTATGTATAATTGAGAATTAAAGCGAGTTTCTTAGATCTTATATTATTATTTATTACTTGTTTATTCATTATTTTTAGTCTTTCGATTGGCTTCTCAATTCAAGTCTAAAATGCCCTTACTAAAGTTCCCACGATGAAGTTTCAAGAAATCCTATGTTTAGGCACATATTAATACAGCATAGTTGGTATTTTTTTTATAAAAGTATTTTTATTAAATTTATTCGCATAGCATGGTCTCACTGAACGCAGAATAGTTGTTTGTATGTTTGTATACATATCTGCGCATATCTCCTATTTTCTCTCATTTGTCGCTTTGTGTAAATATTGAAAATTAGATTCCAAGCAGATGCACAATGAATACCATTCGCGGCGAGGACAATCTTGAGAAGCTGCGCAACTACATACTTTATCCAGATATATCCATTCACGATCCGCTGCCCGATGTGCTGCCGCGCAAGTTCAATGAAATGCGCCTGTTGCACATTCCCAAATGCCCGGGAAGCACAAGGCTGGTTCCACGTCGAGATTTTGTGACCGGCGAAATACTCGAGTTTGTCGAGGTCGATGTAGAGGATGTGGGCGCCAACGCCAATAACTCGATGTCCATGCAGCGTGAGCCAGGTCTGTTGGAGGAAATGACGCGGGGCTCGCACATGAACTATCCCTTCTGGCCGGGCGGCTTTGACGCCAAGGAGCCGCCGCCGGAGATTGCCAAGCTGGAAGTGGACAACTTTGAACTGGGTGACAAGCTGCTCACGGTGCCGCCGGGTTTTGTCAGTGGTCATGACTTCTCAGTAGCCAAGAAGCCGGAGGAGCCGGTTGCCACCGCCAGCAATGTGGATTTGCTGGAGAATTTGGAGCAGGATCTGGACGTGCAGCAGTGGCTGCAGATGACGCGTAGCGACAGCGAAGCCAACAGCACAAAGACTCCACAGCGAGATCTGCAATTTCCGGCAGAGTTCAAGGATGTGGATGACGAGATTATGAACGCAGATCTGCAGCCCGTGCTGAATATATCGACCACAACGAAAAGCTTCAGCAGCGATTGGGCGGAAATGGTGGACATCAGCCAGCCGATAAACAATTTCAAGGAGCAAATACCCTGCCCCGCCATGGAGTTTCCCTTCGAGCTCGATGTCTTCCAAAAGCAGGCAATTCTCAAGCTGGAGCAGCGCCAGTACGTCTTCGTCGCGGCGCACACATCCGCGGGCAAGACCGTCGTCGCCGAGTATGCCATTGCTCTGTCCAAGCGGGATCTGACCCGCACCATTTACACGTCGCCCATTAAGGCGCTGTCCAATCAAAAATATCGCGACTTTCGCAAAACCTTCAAGGATGTGGGCCTAATCACGGGCGATCTGCAAATCGAGCCCACCGCCTCGTGCCTGATTATGACCACCGAGATATTGCGCTCCATGCTCTATTGTGGCAGCGACATAACCCGTGATCTCGAGTACGTCATATTTGACGAGGTACACTATATTAATAATCCCGAGCGCGGCCACGTCTGGGAGGAGGTCATCATATTGCTGCCAGATCATGTGAATATTATCATGCTTAGCGCAACGGTGCCCAATACCATGGAGCTGGCCGATTGGGTGGGCAGCACCAAGAAGCGAAAGGTGTACGTGATTAGCACGCTGAAGCGTCCAGTCCCATTGATGCACTACCTCTACACTGGCGCCGGTGGCAAGAGCCGCGATGATATCTTTCTGTTGGTCGATGCCCAGGGCAAATTCCTGCAGGGCAACTACGAGAAAGCTGTGGAGCGCAAGAAGGAGATGCAGAGCAAATCTAAAGCGGGCGGGCCCAAAAAGTATGTCAGCAGCAAGCAGGATCAGTGCACATGGATTGGTCTGATTGATTTTCTTAAGCGCAACAACAAGATGCCTGTGGTGGCCTTCACACTGTCCCGCAATCGATGCGATGCCAATGTGGCTTCACTGCAATCCGTGGATCTCAATACGGCGGTGGAGAAGGGCGCCGTGCAAAAGTTCTTCCTGCAATGCCTGGCCAAGCTGAAGCCACCCGACCGCACCATACCCCAGGTGCTGGCACTGAAGGACGCACTGGAGCGGGGCATTGGTGTCCATCACAGCGGCATATTGCCCATACTTAAGGAGATTGTCGAAATGCTGTTCCAGAACGGTCTGGTCAAGCTGCTCTTTGCCACCGAAACCTTTGCCATGGGCGTCAATATGCCGGCCCGTACGGTCATCTTCGACTCGCACAAGAAGTTCGATGGCATGGAGATGCGCAATCTTAAGCCGGGCGAGTACATACAGATGGCCGGACGCGCCGGACGACGTGGTCACGATGAAAACGGCACCGTTATCTTGATGTGCAAGGCAAGTGTGCCGCCCTCCATGGAGCTGCGTCCCATGATTCTGGGCCTGCCCGAGAAGCTGCAGTCACAATTTATTCTACGTTACGCCGTCATCCTGACGTGCCTGCGCATCGAAAGCATCAAGGTGGAGGACATTATGCAGTTCAGCTTCAAGGAATTCAACCAGAAACTGCAGCTACCTACACAGCAGAAGCTGCTGCAACTGGCCGAGGACAAGTTCGCCATGTTGCCCACCTTGGGTGAGCACTTACAGCCGCTGATCTATTTCTACGACAAGTCCGTGGAGTACTGGAAGGAGAAGCATCGCATAATGGTCAGTAGCTGCGGCTACTTGTTGAATAAAGTGTTAACTTTCTTGCCTTTTTTTCTCCAGAAATTCATTGTAACCCAGCCGAAAATCCAAAAGGAATTGAAAGTAGGACGAGTCATTGTCATCACCCAGGGCAAGCACTATAACAAGCTGGCGATATTGCTGAATGTTAAGTCCGTCCTGGGTAAGGACACAGTCTACAAGGTGCTGGTGCTGGACCATCAATTCAAGAGCAATGACAGCGACAACGTCAATCGTGGCGAGCTCTACTACAAGATTCTCTCGCTGACGCCACAGCACAAGTTCTTCCATCCGGAGGGCATTGGCGGACACACCGTGCTGGACATTAGAGCCATCGATATATTAACGATTACAAAGTCAACAATCAAAGTGGATGCCGATGTCATCATACGCAACTGGGAACAGCGGCAGTTGGAGCGGTTTAAGGATGCGCCACCTGGTGCGACAGTCGTCAAAGCCGTCACGGAGCTGCATCAGCTTAACGAGGCGTACAATGCCAATCCGGAGAGCATCAAATACGTTAACATGTCCAAGGAGATTAATGTAAATGCAGACAGCGAAGTGGCCATGCTGAACTATGTCGATCATCTGGCACGCCAGGTGGGCGATGTGCTGCCACACACCAATATTGCCGGCTTTGAGCAAGAGTTCGCCAAGGTGTACGAGCGGCGTGTGCTGGAGATTCACATAGAGGAGCTGCGCTTCAAGAACTCGGCCAAAAACTTAACCCTGTATCCGGATTACTGCAACAAGCTGCAGGTGTTGCGCGCCCTCAATTATATTGATGAGCTCAACGAGGTGACGCTCAAGGGCAAGGTCGCCTGCGAGATGGGCCAGAATGAGCTGTTAATTACCGAGCTGATACTCTGCAATATGTTCAACGATCTGGAACCGGCGGAAATAGCTGCGCTATTATCGGGCCTGGTGTTTCAGGCCAAAATCCAAGGCGAGCCTGTTATTCCGGAGCCACTCAAGAAATGCGTCGCCGCCTTCGAGCAAATCAATGACACCATCTTGGCCGAGGAGCAGCGCTGTCAAGCGGCAATCGAGGCTGAGAATAATTTAAACTTTGGACTGCTCGAGGTTGTCTATGAGTGGGCTAAAAACAAGGTGAGTGCCAACTTAATCCCTTAAAACCTTTTCATCAACTAAATCTCGTTTTTGGCAGCCGTTTGCTGAGATTATGAAACTGACCGAGGTGCAGGAGGGCATCATTGTGCGCTGTATCCAGCAGTTGGACGAAACGCTGCGTGATGTTAAAACTGCCGCCATAAGGATAGGCAATCCTGGCCTGCAGTCCAAAATGGAAGAGGCCTCCGCGGCCATAAAGCGTGATATTGTATTCACAGCCAGTTTATACACGGAACTCTAAAATGTAGGCCACAAAAAGAAATTGGTTGAAAAGATGAAACACAGGATTGTTTTTCCTAAAACTATAAATTACGAATCATGTCAATTACAATTCCAAAGGATACTTATAAAAATGTAAAAATATATGTGTAGAATAACGCGACGCAGGCGACAAGCACAAGCGAATTTCATCGTGTCTCCGGCTTAAACTTTGGCGGTACCATCATGCCCGTCATATGTTTCTGTTTCTTTGTTTTCTTTGATTTGCCAGCGCCGGATTGAAAGTCGTGCCAGCTATTCACGCGGCTTTGACGAGATTCCTCAAAGTTTTGCTGCCACTCGCGATCCGCCTTGACACGCTCCTCCTCCTCGATTTCCGTTTCCCGCTTTCGCTTGCGTTCCTCCTGGTCGCGCTGATCGAGCTTTTGCCTTCGACGTTCCATGTCGGCAAACAGTTTCATAACCATAACATAAATGGCATGTTTATATTTGACAGGATCGTCCTCTGGTATGGGCTCAAAGGATCTGCCTTCCTTTTTAAGTTTTTTGCGCTTTTCGGCAATCTAAAAACAAAATTATTTGCTTGGCTTTAAGACTACATCAAGACTAATGTATGTTTACCATGTGATCTGTGCGTCCCTTGGCCTCCTCGTACACCTCCAAACACTTTTTGCGCGTAAGGTCGTTCTCCAATATTTTCCAGGCGCGAGAAACTATATCGAATGCCATTTGGGCGCGCTCCTGGTTATCATGGTTCTTGTCTGGATGTACCAGTATGGACAGGGTGCGATAGCGTTTTTTTATGTCGGCCACCTCGACGTCGGGCTCAATCTGCAGCACCTCGAAAGGATTAAGATTGAAGTATGTGGAACCTGGACGAAGTAAACGATCAATTTGTTGAGTAGGAGTTAGTACTGAATCGCGTTTTTCAATTTCTTTCACCTGCGAAAATAGTCACAAAATCGTTTATTTATGTGTATAATGAAATTCAATTTTTGCTATCTTTGGAAGGGCCTCTGCCGCAGCCGTCTGCGCTGGCTTTGGCTTTGGCGCTGGCACGGCATTGTTACTACCACTCAACTTACTTCTGTGTAGAAGTCCTCAAACGATTCTTTTGAAGTTCCGGGCTGATCTCTTAACGTTGAGGAGGACATTTTGTGTTTTTGTTTCAGTTATGTTTGTTTTCTTTTTTTTTATAATCGTTTGTTTTATGTGGAGAAAACGCACAAGGTCCAGCCAGTGTTATCAACTATTCCAATTGCAGTGCTGTGCAGTGCTGCAAAAAATGTTATGTTAAGCCAGTGGTTTCTGTATTTATGATTTTGTTCCTCTTATTTGTCAAGAATACTTAATTATTGCAAAAATATTATATTATAAAATATATTAAACATTATTATTAAACAAAGCTAATTGCATTTAGATACTAGGTGCAACATTACTCACAGAATGACTCCCCCCAGTGTTGAGCAACAAACAGCTGTTGCTACGCTGTTAAAATTTTCCTAAATTCAGAAAACTGGTCACTACAAAATTGATAAGTCGTAAGGCCAGTAGGAAACATAAATTTCATAATTTTATCAATGATTTTTGTATTAAATCGCCTATGTACCTTATTCAGTAGTGTTATTCGATCTCAAAGTAGGCATATATCCCCGCTTGGCCATACTCAAGTGATCAAAATGAGCACGTGCAAAAGTACCGTTGGCGATCAATCGGACATTGTTTGGATGGATTTGGAAATGACCGGACTAGATATAGATAAAGATCAGATACTGGAAGTTGCTTGTATTATAACAGACAAGCATCTAAATATCAAAGCGGAGGGGCCATGTTTCGCAATCCGTCATGCGCCACAAGTCTACAACAACATGAACGAATGGTGCATTAAGCATCACAATGAATCCGGCCTGGTCGACAGGTGTAAAGAGTCGGACGTAACACCCGAGCTGGCGGAGAACCTTATCTTGTCATTTCTCAAGCAAAACATACCCGAAAGAAAGTGCCCGTTGGCCGGCAACTCAATTTATATGGATCGCTTGTTTCTACGAAAATTTTACCCAGCGGTCGATGAATATTTGCATTATCGTATCATAGATGTTTCAACTGTGAAGGAGCTGGCGACCAGATGGCATCCGAGGGTTATTCAAGCAGCTGCACACAAGAAACTCGCTCACCGCAGCTTGGACGACATTAAGGAGAGCATAGCAGAATTGAAATACTATAAGGAGCATTTATTTAAATGAATTTAATATTAGATTTATGCACTATGTAACAAATAAAACTGTTTAGCTAGTACGAATATGAAAGCAAAAGCAAAACTCTATGATTAGAAACAAAAATACGACAGCAATAAAAAACTCGATTTCTCAATAGACGCCATTTATATTATTATGTGCCGGCGAGAAATTGTTTGCCTCCTGTCGTCGCCTCGAGGATCTGCTAACCGAATTGCTCTCGCTGCCCGTCACCTTCTCGGCTTCGATCCGTCCGGACAGAAAGCTCGCAACACGTTCCTTTAAGTAGATTGCATTGCAAATTACAATCGTAGTCGGAATAGTCAATATATTTACCAGATAACCATTGGTGAGCCCCTGCAGGTTGCCATAGAAGGCGACCATGCGCTTCAACAGAGATTCGGCTTCCTCTTTGGATATGCTCTTGAACTTATCCAGGCGAGATATGGTGATAATGCGATTGTTTATGTATATTATGTGATGCACAACCTCCGTGGTTGTGTGTGCCAAATGTCTATTATTGAAATTGTTTATTAAATATGTATTAGACGGGTTCACTTCTCATTGTCGTTGGTCACTCACTTGGGTATATTTGAGGCAACATTGGCGCTGAAGTTGACCAGGTGGACGACTCTTCTGGCCGACTCGCGTGTCAGCAGCACGATCAACTGTTCCAGGGTCACGGGTCGGGCTTGATTTTCCGGCTCGTCCGCACTCAAGTAGCCCCACAATTCTTTGGCCTTTTGCATCGCCTGCTTTGGATCTGTGGCAATCTGGGAATTTGGGAATTCAATTAAATTAAATATCTCACTTAAAAGTTTATAAATCAAATCAAATCAATCATTCTGAAATCTTTTATAATCATTTTCAGTTTCGATATTGGAATTAATTTTGTGCAATTATATTAATTACTGTTAATTATTATTATTATCATGTTAAGCTTGATTTCAGTTCTATGTTCGACAAATGTTAAAGTCGTGCTTAGCGCAAGTCGTGACACGCACGAAATTTCCCGTGCATCACGAAAGCAAGCACGAGACGCGCCCAACTAACTGTAACTTGCATATGTTATCGACTTACCAACTCGGCCGCATAGATGAGCACATGGATCGCTTCTTTGCTTTGTTTCTTGAGGGCCCGCGCCTCGGCGAGGGTTCTTTGTGTGAGGCGGCGTTTGAGCTTGCGAGAGAAGCGTTGACCGTGATGAATTGCTTTAATGGCGCCCCTTTCGTCGGACGCTGCGCCTGCCGGCGGCTCGTTATCATCATCATGCGGCGCGGCTGTGCAGTAAATTAAAAATAATTTCAAAATGATATACCTAGGTTTTTCTTTTAATGTTGTTTTTTGTTTTTTCTTTTTCATAAGGTTGAGCCGCGGCTTATCGCATGACTTGTTTGCCGCCGCTTAGGCAAGCGACAAAATGAAAATCAAATAGATTCGAAACTCATGTGGAGCACAGATTGATAACCTCGCTGGACGCCAGTTTTTTTTGTTAAACGTGAAGCCTGACGACGGATTTTAAAAATAAACCACGAGCTGCATGCCGTCAGCTACGTACACATATGTATATATACATATATTTAGACTTGCACTCACCGTCCGTCTGATCCTGGTCTATGCGTATGGGCACCAGATATTTGTCAACGAATTTGTCGCCAGCTGTGAAGGCGCCATCAATACGATCCGCTGCGTATGTTGTCAGAGGACTCTCGAGCACCGCATTTCCAATTTGTTTGACTGAATCCGCACGCTTGAGCACGGGCCGCACCAGATGATCCGACATGTACTCCTTGGTATTCCAATACATCTTTAAGCACAAAATGATGGCCTATGTAAGCGGATCTCATGCCACATTGGCGTATATATGGGACCGCAGCTCTACTTACCATCTCGGGCGGCAGATAGACCAACGGTATGCGCTGCTCCAGTATATCCAGGCTCTTGCACATCATGTTGTCCAGTCGCTTGATGGGCAACTCGAAGAGCTTGACAGCGGGCTGGACCGTGTCGTAGGCGGCACTAATTGTCGCCTCGGCTGTCTCAAAGTACCAACTGAAGAGGCGATTGTTGTTCTTGACTTTGTCGTAGATGTGCTCGACACGCTTAACGCTCGACTCCACCAAAGGAATCGATGTTATGCGATCAATGGCTTCCATATGCAGCCCACTCCCCATTGTTGCAGCTGCTTTAAAGGATTAGACCCACGTTTAACATCCGCTCGATCAGATATAACCGCTGCCTACTAACCCATCTGATTGCGATTGGCAAAATAAACTGATGTATTGGATTATTCCTTAGTGTCCCGCAATAGGTTTAAGTTAAGTTTTCAAGAGACTGTAAGAGCGCACGTCCCTTTTAAACGGGCTTCGAATTGAGACTGAGCCAAATTTGCACTGACCGCTTAATAGACATTCCGGACGACGGGCTCGTCATGCACGGAGTGACCTTTACCGCCCAGTGATAAGCACGACGCGATCCGCACACATAAGTGTGTACCTAGACTACACTTATCAATAACATGCCATTTGTAGAAAGTTGAATAAGTTCCAAAGTGCAATCAGAAACGGATTCCTATAATAGCCCAATAAAACTAGGGACTCCATAGATGCAGGTGTGAATCATTTGATAGCAGAAATCTTTTTTATCTGAAAACATTCTGGGAGCTCATGGAATGATGAAAACAGTTTAAAGTGCATTTCAAACAGATTTGTGTGTGTGATTGTGTGTTAGTCATTATTGGCGGGGGCGTTCGGGTCGTTGAGCGTGCGACAATTGGAATACTACAGATAGCTGTCGGAGCTGTCGATGCTCGCATTAGGCGCACCAGACGGCATTAAATTTAGCGCAATTGTATTGTTAAGTTGTGATTTCTGTAATCAGCCAGACGTTTTTATTACAACATAAAGCGGTTAAGAACGAATCAGTAGTCAGATAATGTGTCTGCAGCTTGTCTGTGTCGGAAAAATTTGAGTTTTGATCTCAGGTCAGAATCTTGCTATACAACCAATGCAATTTGAATTTCATCTGCAAGTACGAAATAAATCGATTAGAACTAGTTGAATATGCGTGCAGTGCTGTACAATTCGGTGTTGCGATTACAGTGCTGTTAAACGTATGCGTAGAAGTTGGTAAATTTGTTTGTTGCGTGTTTTCTTTGCTCAAGTTGTGTTTTAATTTCAATTGCTTAGTGGTGGTGTTCTGTTAAAAAATGCTCACATAAAAGTATTTATGTTAAGCGATTTTAAAATGAACAAATACCTTAACTTCATCTGCCTCTTAGGCGTCTTGAGCGTGGGTTAGTACAGCGACTTGAGCTAATGCCACACCCAAGCCTCAAAGCGAGGCTTAATTGTGATTCATTGAGAATTGAATAATTTCGGCACTGCCCAAATCTTAATTACAGGGCACGCACAATTCAATGAGCTGGAGCAGCGCAACTGCATTATACCCAAGATCCTGCAGGGCTCGTGGTTCTCATGGGAGGTCGGCTTGCCCACCCAAACGATCATCGATGCGACCTCCATGTCCACGCGTGGCTATTGCATCAACTACCAGAAACACCGCGGCGATGAGTACTCGTTTGTGTTCAAGGAGCGCTCCGTTAACTGTTATCACTGCGTGCGTACGATAATACGCACATTGAACATATTCGAGAAATTCGAGGGACCATGTGTGGGCTTGCCTCCTGGCCAGGAGCCCACCGTTGAAAACGTCTGCAAGGGCATCAAAGATGATCAGCAGCAGATTACGCTGTTCAATGAAAACTATGTGCCAATCAATTGTCGCTCGTCGCTCGAGGGCGTTTGGCATTTTACATATCAGGCAAGTTTTTTTAAATTGTGTTTAATTAAACGACTGTAATTAACGTCTGTTTATAGAATCGATTCCGCTTTACGGGCGTGTGCAATAAGCCAGATGCTCGCATCCAATCTTGTCAGACGGCTGGAACACAGTTTCTTATACAGAATCAAAAGTTCAACATCACTTATCAAAAGTGCGAGGGCATGGAGGGCACCTTCAGCGGCACCGTTGAGTTTAGCTGCTTGGGCGATTGGTTTGTGGGAAAAAATCATTATTTTGCTGTTGCCAATACAAAGGAATCGCGTAAGGATGAAAAATACCGTTGCTTCCTCAAGAACCGTGATGATGATCTCTATGTGGGTGTCTCCATCACGGCCGAGTGCAACACACTGAAAACGCCCGAAAACTCGCCAGAGCGTCTTAAGCTTACCCCAGTTAAGGCTGAATTTGTAGAGCCCGGCTGTACGCTTCCCCAGAATTTCTCTGGCGAATGGGTGAACACGGCCAACATTGATGCCGATGTGTCTATCAGTGAGACGCACATAAATGAGACATATTATCCGGATAGAGCACGATACCGTAAGACAATTTACGTGTGCCGCGAGCGTCGGGGCAATCGTGTTATGATGGCGCGTCTCACTGTCGATGGTTGCCAAAAGGATTACGTTTGCTTTGACTTTATGCCCAGACATCACAATATTATACGCTATCGCAAGGGCTTAGCTGTCATCAAGGATGATTTCAGCACAGTCTGCTCTTGGGTACAATTTCCCAATTCAGAGGCTTGGAAATACGATTTGTTCTTGGCGAAAAACCCGGTTCCTGTCCGATGTCCAGTCGCTGGCAAGTTCAATTTCACACAAAGAGGCGAGCATCCCTTTAGAACAAGGTTAGCAATTAACTTTACATTTAATAGAAATATGTACCTTATTCAATTATATACTTTCAGAATTTTGGGTGGCGTTACTTTGAGTCCACGTCCCGATATCCACTGCAAGCAAAACATATCTGATTTATCAGTTTGCGATACAGACCAAAAGGAATTGGCTGTCGATGAGAACTATTGCTTGTCCGTGGATCATTTGGGCCGACCCGTTGATATCTACAGTGATCCAGATTACCGCATGAAATGCATTGGCTTTTGGAAGGAAAATCTGAAATCCTATTTAATTACCTACGATGATTTGGATCCGCTATCCAAGTACCGTTGTTGGGTCTATCAACGTGCCGATCTAAACCGTGTCCTCATGTCCCAAGCCGTGGGCGCCTTCTGCAAGCTTAACCAAGACGTGACCTCATGGAATCATTCCGAAGGCGCTGCAGTCGCCATTGATGCCGTTGAGTACGAACGTGAGCGCGACGACTGTCCAATGTATTTCGACGATGGCTTAAATCCTTGGAGACCTTCGGATGCTTCGAATATTGTGTTTGATTGGGACTTTTACAAGGCCGGCGCAAACCGTTTGGCTTCCCTTATTAGTGCGCCGGTCGTTTGTGCCATCAGCGCAGTTTATATACTAGCCAGGTATTTAGTCGCTTAAGAAGTTTAGAATAATTTGTTCAGTACCATCCATCATATCCGAGCCGAAAAGTGCCCTTTTAGAAATATCTAATAATGTGCCTCAAAAATTCAATGAAATTAACGGAATTTTTTTCAACATATCTATGGTTAGTTTATAAGTACACACATAATGGAGCTCTTACAACTCATTACTATGCAGATTTACAAATCTCTGCATCACTTTTGCATTCCGTCCACAAAAGAATCTCAAATGTTTTTGTACAAACGACTACAGCTAAATAAATATTACAGTATCTATCCCTTTTTTTATTAATACATTTCAATATATGATTTCAAAATATTTTATTTCAAACATACATACATTGGGCGGAACCGATAACTTTATTTACCGATAGTTCTCGCCCCATCGATAAATAGTAGGCATCGAACTTTTCAGTGCTGTAAAAGTCAGTAAAAATCGGCTGTGGTTGTTCAAGTCAATAGGTGTTTTTATATTTTGCTCAAAATTTTCAATTTTACAAAATAATAACCATGTTGTCTTCTGTGCTACTGCGTGGCGTTGGACGTGGCAATGGTAAGTATTGTATTTAGCTGTAAATATACGCATTTTATACAACAATTATTTTTATTATATAACCTTGTCGTTTGGCATATCGACAGCTGCAAGCCTTATTAAATCCGTGCGTCTGTCGCCGCTGAAGGCCTACTCGACAATTGTGGCCAACACGCAACGCCAAGCTCTGACAAAGCCTGTTGTGCTGGCCAAGCAAGTAGCGGTATTTATTTGAGTATCAATCAAGTGCCTTTCATTTAATTGGTTAATCCCACATTGCAGCCCCTGGCGATGCGACAGATTTCAGTGAGCGCTCCCCGAATGGCTTCGGATACCAGTAATCACACAGGCTTGTGGACGGTCGAGCGCTTGGTGTCTGTTGGACTGTTGGCAGTTATTCCTGCAGCTTTTGCCGCCCCTTCCCAGGTGCTGGACGCCCTATTGGCGATATCTGTAGTAATTCACACCCATTGGTAAGATGAGCAATTCGAGGCCCGTTTCGCATGCAATTACAATAAGGAAAACTCATTTTACAGGGGCGTCGAAGCTATGGTAGTCGACTACCTGCGTCCAAGTGTCGTGGGCAATGTTCTACCAAAAGTTGCTCACATTGCCCTTATCATAATATCCGTTGCCACATTGGGCGGTCTCTTTTACTTCATCAAGAATGATATCGGCCTGGCCAATGGCATTAAACGCTTTTGGGCCATCAAGGGCAAGGATTCCGAAAACAAAGCTTAATTGCCTAGCGGAGTAGGGCCAACCCCTTAACTAAATTGTGTACAGCAACTCGACGATTGCTTCATAGTCATTAGCAATAAATAAAAAAATAACTTGTAACTCGTATATTAACAAAATTGTATTTAAAAAACATCGTTTTACATGGAAAAAACACTAATTAGTTTTTGGTAATGGTAGCAAAATCAGAAACTAGCACCATAATGTTACGTATTTAATAAACTTTCAACGGCTGTTATCAGGAATGGGTCATGACTTGGCCTCTACGTTATTTGCATAAAATATTCTAAGCGCGTCCCATTGTTTGGTGTGCAGCAAGATATGCGGACGACATTGACGCATGTGCTCCACAGCTTGATCTGGGGTCCAGCCGTTTTTCTACAAATAATGCAAACAATTAAACAAAAGCTTTGACGCAACAACGCACGAGATCTTGTACGTACCAGCATAAGATAGCAGCCCACCAAGGTGGCGCTACGTGTGCGTCCTGCCTTGCAGTGCACGTAAACCGAACCAATATTTTCGGCATATTGCGATGAGTTTAATTTGGGTATGCGCTTGGACAATGGCAAAAAGCGATTTATAAACTCGACGCCATGGTAGAGCTTCTCCTGGTTGGGTGATTCGAATATGTCAGTAGTAGCTAGTTGTAGGAACTCAATGCCAAGGGCCTTCCATTTGGGCGAGTCGTTCGAAAACGCGGTAAGCTCGTAGTCTTCGTTCATTGACACGACAGCTTTCATGTTTTCTTTTTCGATTAACTGTCGAGGCAAAGAATTTTTTATACGTTGTTAGGTTTTTTTTATTTATTTATTTGTAAAGTTTGTTTGGTCGCGAGTCGCGTAACTTACGTCATTTGCCTGGCTTCGAAAGGGCAGCGCTCCAAGTATAACATTCTCATCAATGCGATCGTACCAATTCCTTGCCGTTGCCTTTTCCATAAGGACATTGTAGAGCAGCGTCGGATAAAAGGACACACGTGCAAGCATAGCCGCCTTTAATTGATACACAGGTGGGTGGGGAGAGGTGTGGGATTAATAATTGACGCTCTACGTTATCGGGTCTAGAGTACGGAGACTGCAACAGCTGTAAACTTTCACCAGCTTACGAAGTTAAGCATGAATAATTTCATGCGTGACTGTCTGAGTCGCTTGGAGCGCGGCTTGAAACTGGTTTCATTGATGTTGTTGAGCGCAGTGCCAGGGGCTGGCTTGCAGCCGCAGCCGTCGTAACTTACACTCATCTCCATGCCGTTTTTTTCGAGCTTCTCCGGTTCAAAAGAACAATGAGTCACACCCCAACAATGCTTCCTCGTATATTAATTAGTATATTCACGAATTATCACTCTAATTTTCGCGCTGCTGTTTCAGGCATTTGCATTATGAAATGGAACAACAAAAACACGCAACGCTTATTTACGAAGTTTCCTAACACTGGCTCACTGAGGTGAGCATATCGGTTAATCAGTCACTGTTCTTAGAGATAACATAGCAGCTATCGCTCACAAGTATTAACATGCAGAAATACTAGCATATCTATTAAAATCACGCTTACATTGGTAAACATGAAAAGGGACTGAGAACTATTTTCTACGCGCAGCTTGTGTGAGAATTGGGCTTACAGTTAAATGGGTTGTTTACTCACGCAAGGGTTAACTATAAATTTGGGGTAAAAATTAATTTTTATTGCATTTAAAAAATGAAAGCTCATGAACACAAATGACAGTTGTGACAGGTTGCCGATTTAAAATCACATTGTTGCTCATCTCTGCCATTGCGTCGTTCACAACACTGGGCAGTAATTATTGTTGCAACAAATGAAAGGTTCTTTAATCTTACGTGTGAAAATTACTAAAGCTGTCGAGGGGCAAATAGGACAACAATTAAACCAACTGCACTGGTATAAAATGCGCCAGCGATAAACTGGACTGGAAGCACTAAGCCCTATCAAACGGTGAAAAACCAATCAGTGTGTGCACAAAAGAAAAAGTAAATAACACAACACGTCAGACCTAAAGAGGCAAGAAAAGACTACCAAAATTTTTAGTATATTTATCGCTTATCTTTTTTGCGGCAAAGACAGAGACACGTTCCATATGATGAGACTGCCAAGCATAATGTGCATTTCGATGCTCCTGCTGGTTCAGTGCAGCCACCTCTTGCGGGCGGAACTGCAGGGTCCACTCTCCGAAAGCGCCAGCACGACAGCTATTTCCGAGCCCGAGGCCGTTACCTCCACGGAGCCACATAGTCAGAGCAAGACTGAAGCCGACGAGATAACGACAGCCGAGAAAGACGCTAAAGCTCCACCCGTCGACCTATCCTCATCAGCAACAGCACCAGGCAGCAACGACCGCAAAGCGGCCAAACTTAAGGACAAGGACAAGGAATTCGCGCCACGCACCAAAGTAATGCCAGCTGCGTTATTCGAGCGCCTATGGAACGACAGTCTAATGAAACAGCAAAAACTGAAAGCTCAAATTGAAAAAATTGAAGCAAGCCAAACTCCCGCGGAAGTTGTCGAGCTAACTCCCGAGCAGATGGAGGGTACGTTATTCAATAGCACAAGAATCAATCCAGAATATTGCAATATTTAACTTACAGCTCAGAGCCTTTACGAGAATGCCATGGAGATGCTGGCTAAGCCGCGCACTGATAAACGCGTTGCATTCACACTGTTGCGAAAGGCGGCCGCATTCAATCATCTTAAGGCACGCGCCGAACTGGCCTGGGCCGTTCTCTTGGGTCATTGGATGGCATTTGATTTCCACCACGCCGCCGACGAGTTCGAGAGCTTGGCAAACGAAGGAGTAGCCGAAGCTCACATGGGTCTTGGCTTTTTGTACTCAGCGGGTGTGGGTGGTAAGAATGTCAGCCAGCCGCTGGCTCTACTACACTATACGCTGGCAGCTCTTGGCGATAATACGCTCGCCCAAATGGCCATGGGATATCGCTATTTGTACGGCATCAATGTGCCCACCAGCTGCGAGAAGGCGTTGATTCAATATAAGCGTGTGGCCAAGAAGGTAGCTTCCAAAATAACGTTTGCGAATGGGCCGGTGGTGCATCGAGTCCGGCTGCTGGATGAGCTAGAGAACCCAGGCAGCCACGAGACTGAAATTGTCGACTACTACCAGCTGCTGGCTGACAAGGGCGATGTGCAGTCCCAGGTGGGCTTGGGCCAGTTGTACTATCAAGGCGGCAAGGCTATTCAGCAGGATCATCAAAAGGCATTGGAATATTTTACGCTTGCTGCCAATGCAGGCAATGCCATAGGTTTTGCCTTTCTGGGCAAGCTCTATCTGGAGGGTAGTGAGCAAATCAAGGCGGATAACGAAACGGCCTTTAAGGTGAGACAGCAAACTTGCTAAAAAGCTTTATTAAATGTAAATAATCGTTATTTTCCTTTCGATTAACAGTACTTCTCTAAGGCATCCGAAATGGGTGATCCGGTAGGCCAGAGCGGTCTGGGACTCATGTATCTAAAGGGTCTTGGTGTGCCCAAAGATTCTATCAAGGCCTTGTCGTATTTCACACAGGCTGCTGACCAAGGCTGGGTTGATGGTCAACTGCAACTAGGCACCATGTACTTTAGTAAGTTTTTCAGTTATTTATAACCTTTAAAAGAGCATTATAGTTTTGTCATGATGTGTGTAACGCATGAAAAGAAACATCAATCCGTTTCAGTTGGTATATAGCCATGCCCGTCTGTCTATCTGTTCTTATCAGCTCTCTCTAATCAGTTTTAAGGTTATCTTGATTAGAGTTGATTTCTGCATTACTGCGGGATCGTTTTAATTTATCTTGAGCAAACTTTATTAGGCTTTTACAAAACGATTTAATTCCAGCTGGCAATGGCGTCAAGACGGACTACAAACTGGCGCTTAAGTATTTCAACTTGGCCACACAGTCGGGCCACGTTTTGGCGTACTACAATTTGGGCATTATGCATGCATACGGAATGGGCATGCTGCGATCCTGCCCAGCTGCTGTTGAGGTAGGTTCCACAGCTAATTTATAGCTTACGATAATTATTCAGGTGTCAAGATATTTCTCTTGGAGGTCTCGTAATATATTCTATTGTTTTCATTGTAAAATATTAATTGCATATTACAGTTCTTTAAAAACGTGGCGGAACGTGGTCGCTGGAGCAGTAGATTAATGCACGCCTACAGTGACTACAAGCAGAATCGCATCGATGAGGCCTACATGCAGTACTCCCTAATGGCTGAAGTGGGCTACGAGGTGGCCCAAAGCAATGCAGCTTTTCTGCTAGATCGCGAGGAGGTGCATGTGTTTAATGATCGTCACGAGGAACTGATACGCGCATTTTACTACTGGAAACGAGCTGCCGGCCAGGGCTATTCGGCGGCCCAGGTTAAGCTGGGTGATTACTACTATTATGGCTGGGGAACAAAAACGGATTTTGAAACTGCTGCAGCTCTTTATAGGTGCGTAAATCTTAAATCAACCATTGCCGAAGATTTTAATAGTTTTGTTTTTTGATTTTATGATTAGGAAAGCTTCAGATCAACAGTATAATGCGCAGGCCATGTTTAATTTGGGCTATATGCACGAGCAGGGCCTGGGCATGAAGAAGGATTGGCATTTGGCCAAGAGATTATATGATTTGGCAGCCGAAACGAATTCGGATGCCAAAGTTCCTGTAGCCATTGCGCTTTTCAAGCTTCAGATGCTAGCCAAGATTGAATCAATAAAGCAAGTAAGATATTTCAATTTGCCAGCTAACGCGACCCACTCTAATCGATTGTACTTAGTCGCCATACAGATTCATCTTTTATATGGATGAAAATATTGCTGCCAATTGGGACTTATATATGATCACCATACTGACCTTACTACTGGGCATTATAATGTATACTAGACGACCATTCCAACAGCCCGAGCAGCCTGCACAGCCCCCGCAGCCGCCAGCTAATGATATAGCAGCTGTTGCCGTTAATGCAACTCCAGCGGCTCCACCAGCGTCCGCTGGAGCTTCAGTGACACCAGCAGCTTCGACTGCTGCAACAGCCGCTGCAGAAGTGGCATCCACATCTACAACTGCATTGACTGCAACGGCTTCTAGTGGCGACTCGTCCAGCCCAACAACAGCCAGCTCATCCGCAGGGACGAGCAGCAGCAGCAACACACTTGATCCCACTGATTAGTCTTAACGAATTGGTTAATCATCCCTAGTTTAATTAGTGACCATGTAAATATTTATCATCTATTTTTTATTATTTCTGAATTGAATTTTTAGATATTTAAAAGTCAGAAATATCTTACTCAAAAAATATATATGTGTTGTACTGATAAAACTGCTTATCCATGCGATACGATTCCTAACGATAAATTTGGCCAGAAACCAATGTTCTTTTTTTCTTGTTATTGTTTAATATATTATCTGTTTTATTGTTGACGTGTTTGCAAGATTACAAGTAAATTTAATTTGCGAAGTTTTAGCCTAGGCATAGTAGTTAAGATTAGCTTTCTTTTTGGACTGCACTTCCATGATGGCGTCCATGAAGTCCTCATGCGTAACCGATGTGGCAGAGCGGCGCAGGGCAATCATGCCAGCCTCTACGCACACTGCCTTGCATTGGGCGCCATTGAAATCGTCTGTGGAACGGGATAGCTCCTCAAAGTTAACATCGTTGCTGACATTCATTTTACGCGAATGGATTTGCATAATGCGCGCACGTGCCTCTTCGTTCGGGTGTGGAAACTCGATTTTACGATCCAATCGGCCGGAGCGCAACAGGGCGGGATCAAGAATATCAACACGATTCGTAGCAGCAATAACCTTAATATCCGCAGTCGAGCTAAACCCATCCAACTGATTCAGCAGCTCCAACATGGTACGCTGCACCTCACGATCACCAGCCTTCTCTGAATCGAAACGCTTTGTGCCAATGGCATCCAATTCATCAATGAAAATGATGGCGGGTGCTTTCTCCTTGGCCAGCGCAAAGGCATCGCGCACTAGCTTGGCGCCATCACCAATAAACATTTGAACCAGCTGCGGACCGGCCAGCTTCAGGAAAGTTGACTTTGTTTGGGCAGCGCAAGCACGGGCGAGCAGAGTCTTGCCAGTTCCGGGTGGGCCGTACAATAGAACACCTATGGATAATGTTGTAGTTGGTCACTTTTAGTGGAGTGCAATCACACTAACCTTTTGGTGGATGAATTCCCAGATTCTTGAATTTTTCCTTGTGTGTCATGGGCAACACCACGGCTTCAATGAGCTCCTGGATCTGTTTATCCAATCCACCAATATCGGAGTACTGCTCTGTAGGACGCTCATCCACCTCCATAGCTTTAACACGAGCATCATACTCAGCTGGCAGAGTTTCCAGAATCAGATAAGAGTCCTTGTTGACGCCAACCAGGTCGCCGGGTTTAAGTTTCTCGGCATCGACTAGGCCAATGACTGGCAAGAAATACGCCTGACGCGTTGATGTTTTGATAACCGCACATTTTCCCTTGCGCTGATTGTCCAGCACGGTAACAGAGCCGTCGTCTTCCTCTTCCTGCGGGTCCACATCCAGTAGCTCAATGACATTGGACACCAGATATGGCAGCGTTTTGTTAACCTAAAACAGATATTCGTAGAAGCTAGAATTTTTGGTTGCCTATTAATTTATTGGTATTATGTACGTACCTTGATCTTTTCCGTGTTGTCTTTGATTTTCTCGTTTTGCGCTTGAATCTCGTGTGTGATCCGCATTACTTCGCTCTTCATTATTTTTATTTCGTTGTCCATCAGGCGAGTCCTGCTCACAATCTCATCAGTGGACATACGCAGCACCTCTTCGCCCAGCGACTCCTCGCCATCTTCCCATATTGATTTATCCTCAAGTGTTTGGGCCATTTTTTGTCAATTTGCTTTGTTAATAAACTTGCTTAAATAAAACTTTTGCTGTGGCTAGCTGGTTTCTTTGCTTTGCCTTTTTAGTCGATGACTTGTAAATTTTCGTGTTTTTTCCAGCCTCTGCCGAGTTTGACAGCTAAGTGTGCTGTAAAATTATCAAATATTATCGGTGTTAAAACGAGCGCAATGCTATCAGTATATCGATAGTCAGGCGTTTTACAAGACTGTTTTAGGCTTGAGGAGAACGCTTTTTTCTTGTAAAAAATTTTTGCCAAACTACAAATCATAAACATAAATTTTGATTGCCATGTCCGAAAATAATGGTAAGTGCGCTAGCCAAACCAAAATACATTTCTAGTCGTGCACATGGTTCTCTGACACATGCTCTATGTGACTTTGTCTGTGCACAAATCAGCCAAAGTAAAGCCAAAGTCAAATACAATATCCTCCTTGTTCGTGTATTTTGTAGAGGCGTCGCTTGAAGCCAATTGCTTCAGAGGCGGTTTTACTTTAAAAGCATCGCGGCTAGGTGGAGCCGTCTTGCGGCCAGCTGTGCTGGGTGACAGTTCAGTATTGGGCTCGGCTCATAGCAATACCAACAGCAACAATAGCTCCACAGCGTTAGCCGGCGGAAACGAGAAGACTGATGAAGATGGCATTGTGGGCAATCCGTTTTTACGTGAGCAGAAGGAAGAGGAAGATGAGGCGGCCGCCCAAGTGGTGGAGTCCACAGAGAATATTGATAAAGATGACGATGAGATTGATGAGCGGCCGGATCCGCTGTCAATGCTGCGCAACAATGGCATCGAACGTTCCAACATATTTGCAGCGGCCAAGACCACTTTGCCGCGTGTTCAGACAAGTGGATTTATTTTCGGTCAGAACGTACACGAGCGGGTCGTGGGGGTAAGTTGCGATATGTCTAATCTGTAATAAAAATATATATGCGAAATTTATTGCAGGAAAACGTAAGCACAGAATCGAATGCAGAAGCTGCATCGTCGGGCACGGCGGAAGCGACCTCATCGCAGCTGCTGTTTTCCAGCGTCATTCAAAAGGCTGCCCAATCCACAGACAACAACAAGGACACGTCCGAAGCGAAGAGCCTCAACGAGGTGGCGCGGGAGTACGAGGAGAGCCGTGCCCAGAAACGTAAATACGAGGAGGTAGAGACCTTTACCGGCGAGGAAAACGAAATCAATATTGCCGATGTTAGCTGCAAGCTGTTCGCATTTGTCAGCAGCAACTGGGAGGAGCGTGGACGTGGCAGCCTGCGCCTAAACGATGCCAAGGATGAACGTGATTGTTCGCGCGTCGTCTTCCGCACATCGGGCAACTTGCGCCTGCTGGTGAACACTAAAGTCTGGGCGGCAATGGTGGCCGAACGCGCTAGCCAGAAATCACTACGTCTCACTGCTATGGATAACACGGGCACCGTTAAGATCTTCTTGGCCATGGGCCGACCCGCAGACATTGCACAGGTGCACAAAGCGTTAAGTGAGCGCATTGCCAAACGCAAGCTGACGCATCCCGACGAGTGTGCCGTGGTGGAAGCCAAAAATGGCATTGCATCTGAACCGTGCGCAGTCAGTGTACAGCCCGAATCTACAACCAACGATGATGACGAGGATGAGGCCGTCGGTGGCGCGGCCAATCCAGTGCCGACCGCTGGCTCAACTACGGCCATTGCTGAGGCGGATAGCAACGAGCCCAGCCCAAAGAAGGCGCTTATGCTGGCGGACAGCAGTGTGGATGTTGTGGTGTCTGCGGCAGACAGTGATGCCGAGGCAGAGCCCAAGGAGCTACCCGAGGAGGACGAGGAGGAGAGGGCTTAAAATTAGCTGGCGTATGTTTCTTTCTTTTTTTTCCCACTTTTTATTTTATTTTAGTTTTTGTTTGAAAACACACACACACACACACACACAAATGAAAAACCACTTCACAACAAACTAAATAAAACGCATTGTGAATTATTATAAATTAATTATAATAATTTATTAATAATTATTATTAAAGTAAAATAAATGGAGTTCCGATTTGTAAGCCCGGGCGCAGCGTCTATAAATGACATCTATCGATTACATTTTGTATTTAATCTTTCATTTGCATTCCGCTTCGCAATCTGTCTGTTCTATTAAAAAAAAAACAACACCTTTTTCTCTTTTAAATCTTAGTCACTAAAACTAATTCGCTTAAGGAATACTTTTAACAAGTTTTGCGCTTGCACTAGAAATATGTTTGTAGAAAAAATAGGCTCATTATCGTACACACACATCAATTTATATATAGATATATATATATAGGCATTCGTATAAACTAAATGGAAATTGCAACAACAACGAATCCCAGGCTGCGTTATACTTGAAACTAGTTTTTAACAATTACAACAATTCAATCGCATACGCACACAAAAGGCTTTGGCTTTGAACAATTGCTTAATGCTGCTGCTGCTGCTGTTGCTTGGCCTGGCCAATTGGATTAATTACAATTATATAATTACAATAATTAATTCAATAAGCATTCGTTTGAACAAAAGAATTTTAACTTGAGCGCCGCCTACATCGAACCGAGCGAGCGCCTATGTACAGGAGGTGAATGCGGCGTCAGTTCTAGCTGATTGTGCTGCAACTGGAGACGGTCACGTTGAGCGGATTGTTGGCGCTGCTCACGGCAATGGATGACCTGAACGTGAAATGACAACAGAAATTACAAAAAAAAATTGATGATATCGTGCAAAACGAGCGCCGAACATTGCTTGGCTTGCACTTACCGATTGTGGCGCATGTGACTCTTGACTAGATCGCTGTTGACCAGCGCTGCCATCAGGCTCAGCTCACCGGCCATGACAGTGGCGCAGACAATTTGCGCCAGTTTCTTGGCATTGTCGCCCGGATGCGTAGCATGTGCGCCACGCACGCCCAGCATGTCGAGGCAGGCACCCTGGCCGGGTAGACCAGTGCCGCCGCCCACGGTGCCCACCTCCAGCGAGGGCATGGTGCAGGTCATATACAAATCCTCATCGTTCTCGGGCCAGCACTCCATGGCCGTGGAGCAATTGCTGGATGTGACATTCTGAGCGGGATCCTGGCCGGTAGCCAGAAACACAGCGGTCACCATATTGGCCGCATGTGCATTGTTGCCCCCGATGCTGCCGGCCATGGCACTGCCGGACATGTTCTTCAGCTTGTTGCATTCGACCAGCGTCTTGGCGTCCGTCTTCAGCACCGAACGCAGTGTGGCCGCCGGTATGGTGCACTCGGCGACAACACGTTTGCCACGCCCCTTGATCCAATTGATGGCTGCGGGCTTTTTGTCGCAGCAGAAGTTGCCGCTCAGCGAAATGATTTGCATGTCGGGAAACTGGCGCTTGATGCAGCGCAGGGCCATCTCTGCGCCCTTGGACACCATGTTCATGCCCATGGCATCGCCCGTGAGCGCCACGAAACGTATATACAGCTGCGGGCCATCCATGGCAATGTGGCATTCCTTCAAGCGACCAAAACGCGACGTCGAGTCGAACTCTGTTTTGACGAGCTTGTAGTTCTCCTCGCTCTCGATCCACTTCTTGGCCTCGGAGGCGCGAGCGACGCTGGGAAAACGAACACAAGGTGCACGCGTCATGCCCACATCTTCCACGACGGAGCGTACGCCGCGCACAGACAGCGCCTTGCAGCCGCGATTCGTGGAGGCCACCAGAGCACCCTCAGTGGTTGCCATGGGCACATAGTAGCTCTCGCCATCCAGCAGCAGTGGACCCGCATAACCCACGGGTATGGGCACATAGCCGAGGACATTCTCGCAGCAGGCGTTCATCACTTTGCGATAGTCGAAATGCTCATAGGGCAGCACTTCCAGACGTGACATCGGCATCTTGGCACGTGCGGCTATTATCTGGCGCCGAATACGTATGCCACGCTCTGCATCCTCCAGCACGGATTCGATCTTGTAGAGCGGACAATGCGCCCCGCCAGCATTGACAATGGCAATGATTTCCTCGTCCGTTAACACGCTGGCGCCGCTAATGCCGTCGGCCTCGTCGATGGCATTTAGCACCTTCAGGCATTCCTGCAGTGGGCGTGGCGGGCGTGCTGGCGGTGCCAGGCGCTGACGCACGGTCACCAGCTCGGTCTGTGTGGCTGCATTTTTCGATTTGTGCTCCTCGATGCTGAACAGCGGCGTGCGAGGTGCTGCGAGCTGCATGTAAGTTGGAAGCTGCTTTGGCTGCTCTTCCTCCAGCGGCGTGGTCTGCGACGCCTTCGCTGTGGTTGGCTGCCGCAGCTGATTCTGCAGCGGATCGCGATTGTCGAAGCAGATGAACTTGACCACCAGGGCAATTAGGACAATAGAGATGACTATGTGATCCGCGCTCATCGTTAGCCATCTGCAAAAGTAGGAGTGCAGGTCAGCCAAGAACTTTGGCACTATTTTCATGCGGAATACATACTTGATTATGATGTCGGTTATTTCGCCCGACTCCGTGCGATTGTTGTTCACGTTCAGATTCAGCGTGGGCGAGAGCGTCTTGTCGACCGCATCGTAATCGCTGCTGGTGAAGACGACTCGACTGTAGATGTGCACAATCATCAGGCCAGTGGTCATGATCAGCTTGACGCGCTGCAGCACTGGATTGGCCTTCTGCTCCTCCTCGGTGAGCGATTTGAGCAACAGCGAGCCCTTGGCGCGCTCCCGCACCATGGACATGTCGACGCCATTGCGCGACAGATCGAATATGAGCGAAAGGCAGGCGGGATAGAAGGTCATAAAGACCACATAGTTGACCAGCACCGAGAGCACTGCAAACATGCAAAGCACCTCAAGACGCTGCACGCCCGACAGCGTGCCCACGCCCACCAGCAAAGCCTCGACAATGGTGTCCAGCGAAATGGTCGGGCCCAGCAGCTCCAAGCCACGTGCTATGTTCTGTGTGACCTCCGCCTGGCTGTGCCCCGAAAGCGCCAGCTGTGCCAGCCGCCCCGAGTTGGACAGATCAATGACCAGCAGCAGAAAGAAAAGCGCATCCCTACAAGCAATTGGAATAGGGTTAATAAATTAGATACATCCAAGTGGGGTTTACTCACTTTAGATCCGATATATCGCTGCCCAGAAACTTAATTATGGCCGTGGTGAATATAAAGCTGGAGAAGACCGTAAATAGCCCGGCGATGCCTGCAAACAGAAAAAGCAAACAGTCAAAAGAGCGGCGCACTTGAATCTCAGCACGAGCTGGAACTGGGTTCGCCAAGTCCAATTAGCAACAGAGGTCGTTTCATTTAGAGACCGCGTGAGAAATGCCATTTGGACGGACCGACCGACAGCCCGCCCGCCCGAAAGAGGCAGCTAAAATGTTGGCCAAACACCTCGCGCATGGCTCATCAAAATAGTTTTGGCCGAGCGCAAACAAAGAGCATATTCTTCAGCTAGAAGCTAATCGCTTGTGTCAACACACGCGTCGCATAGTCGCACAGGGATGACGCAATCTCCGGCCTGGACACACGCACTTACCTAGCACATATTTGGAGCCGAGCCTGTGCAGGCTGCAGAACTGATAGTAACAGTAGAGCACCGCGGTGCAGCGCACAATGGTCATCAGAATCACATCGGCGGCATTGTACTCGGCCTCGAGGCCATCGCAGGATTGACTCCAGCCATGGCAGGGCCGGTGGCGACTCGATGTTGCGCTGGCAATGATCGGGGGCGGCGCGCCGCCGGCTGCAGACGCCGCTCCAGCGCTGTTTGCAGCAGCAGCTGCTGCTGCTGCTGTGGCACTGGCGCTGCTAAGACCATTGCTTGCGTCCAGGCTGGTGTTCTTGTCGATGGTCAGCATGCAGGCTGTGATGGTGAGCAGGGCGACAATCACCTCCCAGGGATGCGAGGCACAGAACTCGCCGTGGGCGCGAAATAAACGTCCGATCATCTTTATGGCCGCTTGGTTCAGTAAGCTCGTCCAGTGCTCCTCTGTGCTTGACTTGCCCAGCACCACGCTGCTCAATGGCCCAAACTCTCCGGCAGGCAGCTGGCACTATTGAGCAACTACGTCCACGCGCTGCAAAGAGAAGACAATACGCAGCTCGGGTTAGTTGGATCGGGCCAAGGCAAAGTGGACGCAGGCCAATCAACTTGCCTGCGCCACATAATCGTTGCGCTTTGAGTCGCCTTTCAGCCAGGCATCAAGCGAGAGCAACAAATTATAACAAAACAAAACTAAAACAAAACATAATTTCATCGATTGCTGTTGACACGTTTCGTCTCTTTTTCTCCCGCCCCAATGCGATAACAACGACCCCAAAGCCGATTGGCCCCAGCGAATGTTGCAAAACGAGCAAAAAAAAAAAACACATAATAAATAGGTCGCACAACCATAAGATATCCTGCACAGGCTGGGCACGGCGTAAGGAGTTTATATTTTCGGCAAACCTTTTGTCGGACAAGCGTCGGAGTATAAAAAATTTTAAAAGGCTGCCAGCGCCTAATAGTTGTCATGTTGTTAACAGGAATGTTATAACGCCTTAACAGACCACTGTTAAATGCTTGCCCTTGAGCAAATGGCCAAAAATATTGCAATCTTTGTGATTCAAATGTAATATAAAAAGCCCCTAGGTCTGCCTCTCAAAGTTAACTTATATTGAGACACACTAAGCAAATATGACATGCTCTAACTAAACAGATTAATGTTAGAGTTGTTATTGACCTGGCAATAAGCGAATTTTCTCAGCTGCTGCGTTCTATATGTCCCACTGTTAACGACATATGTTAACATTAATTTATTGACAATAAGCAAACTAACTTATAAAGTTAATATGCTCGCCTTTGCATATTGTATTGTAATTAAATGTTTTCTTTTTTTTTTTTTATATATTTTTAAATTTTGACAAAAAGTTTAATTATCAATGCCTTTTAAATATTCTAGTTCTATTAGTCGCTCTGTTAACGACTTATGTTTACATAAATGTTATTGACAATAAGCAACCTGCATCAAATTTATTGATATGCGCCTTTGCATATAGTATTGTATTTATGTTTTTTTTTTTAATATATATTTTTCAATGTTCACAAAAAGTTTTATTTTCAATCAGATGGTGCCTTTAACTAACTAACTAATAGACGCTTAAAAGAAGTACTTATTTTTATTAACGTTCATGTTAAATAACATTAATATCAATTTAACATAACTAAACTTTAGAACTAATAGACTTTTAAAGGAATTACCTAATTTTATTAACATTGATGTTAAGTAACATAATGATCAGCTTAACATAACTAAACACTAGCTACTGCGAGTTAAATATGCGTGCAGATAAATGTTGCCACGCCCTGAGTACGCCCTTTATGGCTTAGGGTATAACTCGTTTGCTCTGGTTATTGCACAAAGCGGATTTGATCGCGTCCTTGAACAGACATTGTGCGTACGCTTTGCCTTTGCGTCTACCTTTCGCCTACCGACTGCCCACTGATTGATGGCGTCAGCCAGGGCGGCGCCCACATCCGCATGCCTACGCCTGAGGCTGGGCGGCAGCTGCCCGGCTTAATTAAGCCACTAAGGCGATTTGCTCGGCACTTGGCACTTGGCACAAATCTCGGTAAACGATCGCGCGCAACGTGCCCGGCATAGACAAGCATCCTGGGCAGGCGCCATAAATATTGAAAGTCTGTCTGCGTCTGCGACGAGATTCTGCTCCAAGTGCCGTTGCTTATCGTATATGCCAGCCATAAAAAATGTTTTGTACTTTCCATAAAATACGGCGGCCGAGGAGCAAGCCATGTTTCTGGCTTGTGTGTAATCCGAAGCCTTTGACCATAAAGCATTGCTGCAGCCGGGTCGATCCACTGTTTATATATAACTGTGCAGTTGCATATGTAATAAATATATAGACATGGCAGCATGTGGGCGGTTTTGCAGGGGGGTATGGGGGGTCTAAAGCTGGGGCGATCGTAAAAAGTGGCATAAACAATGAGCTCATGCTGTTCTTTTTTTGAGTAATTTTTTTACTATGCGGCTAAAATGAAAATCAATGTAATTGTCGGCTGCTATTTTCAGCTACTTGAATGGATTTCAGTTTTATGGCTAAAGTCAGGCAAACAAACAGAAACAGAAACAGAAACAGCCTCAAAGGCCAGGGATGAAAGAGTAGATCAAGATCAAGACAACACTAAGGTGAACCGCTCAGAGATCAGAAGGAACTGATCGCAAAATAAAACATATTTAATTGCATGAAAGCATGAATTACTATTGAAACAGTTTTAACATGGGGATAACGAACAGACAGCTGCATATAATTCGTTTAAAAGAAAACCGTTAAATATTGCGTTTTATCTACAGTTAAATTGACTGCGTGCTTAAATCGCATGGTCAAAGGATTATAGACAAAGGGTTTCCCGGGTGCCAATTACAATTGCCAGGGTTAAATATTTTAATGGATTTTTCTGAAGACCTTGGTGCTGCTTATAAGTTAATTGCATGTCTTCAAACCGAATCAAACTTGGCTCGAACCCGGAATTAACTTTTACTTTTTTTCCATTTTGAAACGAACACGTTCCCAAAAGAATGCTGAATCCTAACTCGAACCAAGTCAAACATTTCTTAAGATTTTGGTTCAGGAAATAAAAAACAAAAATCAATTTAATGAAATCTTAAGAATAATATCCAATTCCAATTTCAATGAGCTTCTCGCTTCATGGATCTAATGAACAGGCGAGACAAGCATCGATCTAATAAGAAAGACTCCAATTGGAAGATATCTCTGCCATCTAATGCATTGGACCTAGGCAATACTCTGATGTAATTCATGCTGAAAGCAGCCCTAATCAGCTAGACAAAATGAGATTAGCTTGAGCCAAAAATCAGGCAATACATCACATAATCTTGTAAAATCATCTGAAAATCTATTAGAAGTAATAAAACGCCAGTTAACAATTCAGTATTGTAATGCATTGCTTAATTGTTTCAAGAACTTAAGGCCCTAGAAACACAAATTAAAATTAAATTAATTGGTTATAAAAATAGAAAACGTTTCTCACTCTGGCAAACAATTATGCATGGGAAGAGAACTCGGGCATCTGAAGTACGGCTTTATTTGAAAAGCAACTTTTGTAAATTATGAGTGCAATTAAATTTAGTTGTTTTTAAGCTTCTTGAAGAATGATAAGTGGATAGCATACTATCTAAGCCTTTTAGTCTCTTGCGTCTGGTTGAGTCTTTGTTTGCACTTAACACTAGGTATGGGCATTACGACAGACCCACTGACAAATCTTTGCGGGTTTTTTTTTTTCGGCTAATCAACATTTTCAGTAGAATTCGCAATGCTTTAACAAATAGGCTGGGCATTGGCTGTGAAAACAGCACGTACGCCAAACAGATCAAATATTTACATACGGTCAAAATGATTGGAATCTTTCGCTTTGTATTCAAACCCATCGCCTCGCTGTCGATATTCAGCCAACCGAGCTGATGTCAAACTTAACAGCTGAATAATATATATATTTTTTTGTCATATATCTATATTTATATTGTCTTATGTCAAGCTCTTAATGGACGTTATTTCATCTTCCAATAAAATATTATTTATATTTTATTTTATTGATAAGTAAGTTTAATATTTCTTGACAGGAGGATGGGAACACATATCAAAATTAACAGGAGGATAAGAGCTTAACTTTATCATGACCCTATGACCTCGACTAAAGTCTTCATTCTTGTTTGATTTGTGAGTGAAAACGAGTGGCAGCTTTTTCTTAACAGGAGGATAGGAACACAAATCAAAATTAACAGGAGGATAAGAGCTTAACTTTATCATGACCCTAAGACTTCGACTTAAGTCTTTATTCTTGCTTTAAATATTCAATGAGTGAAAACGAGTAGCAGTTTTTTCATAACATGAAGCTAGGAACACATGGCAAACTTAACAGGAGGATAAGAGCTTAACTTTATCATGACCCTATGACCTCGACTAAAGTCTTTATTCTTGTTTTCCTTTTACAATAGCCAGTCAATGAGAGGAACTACAAAATTAAATCGTCCAATTTCAACTTCCTGGCTTGAAACTCATTTTAGATAATTGAGCTGATGAGGATGATGATGATGATGATGATGCTGATGATGATGCTGATCAAAATTAAATTTGCAATAGTGGAAGAGACGAGCAAATGAAACCAAACATTATAATTTGTTGTTGCTGCTCAAAGTGCATGAAGTTGGTGTTAAGTGTAAAGTGCCTGGCATTACGAATGATCATTGCAAAATGCCTATTCAAAAATATTTCCCATTTTCACAGAAATGTTTATTTTTGGTTTTGCAAATGAGAAAACGAAAAGAAGCAACAGCTACATATAACCATAACAATAACAATAGTTCGTCGAAGGCGCCGCTGGGCTGCTGCAAAACAAAGTACAGCTAAATAGATAAACTATTCAATGGCGAAATGTTAAATTTAGCGATGCTCCCAATGGGAGGGAGCTGGATGGAGAATCAAAAACAGTGTTGTGAGCCGTGCTGACGTTCGTCTGTGTGTGTGTGTGTGTGTGTGTGTGTTAGTGTGCGTGTGCTTTGCATTGTTTTGCATGCTTTTTCGTTTACATTTGAAAAGCACTCGCCAAACGGATGTTGCGCTCGACCTCAACCTTACGAAAGCAGCCCGCGGCAAGCGAGTGTGGGAGACGAAGAGAGCGAGCGAGAGAGAGAGAGAGAGCGAGCGCGAGATTAGTAGGCTGTTAGCCAGAGGGTGCGCGCAATAGAGTTTAGCCAAAAGAAGAGAAACCCGCAAAACAAAAGCAAAAAAAAAAAACTTAACAGAAACAAAGCGCCCAAAAAAGAACAGTTCCACGGACCAGAGTCCAATTGGAGGACCATTGTTTTTTTTTTCGCTTGGGTGGGGCACGGGGTGCTACATGTTTATGTGTACACGAATGTATGTATATGGCCGCAATTTGGTTGCTCAAAATTCGCAGAAAATTGCAGCCTTTTGTAGGCTTTCCCTGCGTCCAATTAACATGCAACAAGTGCTTCTCGAATTAATCGTAAATTACGTTTGTCAAGCTACCAGGAAAACAGGCGCTGACTCATCTGGGAACGTGCCACTAGATGGCTTTTATATTGGCTTTCGCAAAAATTTTCCATTCTTTTGTTTTTGTCATGAAATGATTATTGTCAATTAGCATTAGTCTGTTAATTGCGATCGATCGCATTTAAATATGGCTCATCAGCTAATAAAAAACACGCAAAATATTTGTGCCCAAATAAAGAGTACTTCCCCGGAAATTTCCCTGATGGGAAATGTGCATTAGTTTGCACTTTGCAAATCATTTTTACCATTCAATTTTCGAGAAAATTCAAAAACAAATTCAAATTCAGTGCAAAGGTCAATCGAAATTTGTAGCAATTAACGCCTGAAATGATTTGTTTTCATTTTGCCTTTGTT